TCGATATGTGTGAGGGCTGTGATACTGCCCGGGTGCCCAAACCGAAGCAGGTCCATTCATACCATAGGTCTATGAAAATGCAGTTATCTGATGCTAGAATGATCTTGCTCATCTCTTTTGGAGACACCCTTGCTCTAAGGAACCAGTGGGTAGGTATTCTACGAAAAGACTATTAATTCATGGTCACATAGTAGATTGCGGTCAGTCGCTTTTGTGGTTAAATGATAGGTACTTAATTGACACAATCAAACTTTTTCAATATAGCTGTAGTATATTCAACATAAATTATCTGAAATCTACTTACCTAGTCCTCCATTTGTTGCTTTATGTGTAGTTGACGATGGCTAACTTAGATGTTAGTGAGCTTGGTATATCGAAGAATTTACTCCAAATGAATTTTATGCGACGAACTCTCGTAGCCAAGGAGAAGGCTACTAATCAAAGTGCCCCAGACATCCTTCCTAATTCACAAGAGTATGGATTTAAACTCCCTTCTTCTGTAGAAAAGCATATCAACAAAAGAGCTACCATCCTTAAGTCGAAATATCGTTATCAGTTTGTTAAAAGTATTTTTAAGCTCTACAATGTATCACCTGGGTTTCGAGAAAGTTTCGGCGGCTTTAATTCTCCTACTAACGCCGACGCCATTCCCCAATCTCTGGTTAATAACTTACCCGATCCTCGTCTGCCCAATCGAGACAACTGTGTTTGTGAATATTCGCAATCATTTGAAGGCCGGGCATCAAAAACAAGTATCCGTTTCAAAAGATTTGAAGGTAAATCTTGTAGATAGTTTGCTTCAACATGCTATACACTGATTTGCCAATCATTTAAGCTAAAGTTATATGAATAATCCAATGTTTTCATTTTATTTCTGTCTTTTTTTGGAAGAGGAACTCTGTAATTTTATCCCATATGATGAAATATACTTTTTACCATATCAGCATCCGTTAGTACGCCACAGTCTAAATAATCATACGATTCAGTAACTAGGAAAGTTAGCGGCTATCATGTATCGACCTCTCTTTCATATAATTGAGACAAGTAGTAATTTTACTCCAAGTTGTAATTAGTACACCTTTCGTTTATAACTTGGCTGTGATGTTACTTTTTGTAGTACATATAATTCTCCTGTTATTACCAGGTTTGTGATTATAAATATAAACTAAATAAACTAACTGTAAAACGATGACAGGTTATATCAGTATAACAATTTTGTATGTAATAAAAATTAACCATGATTCTGATACATTCGAAAGTATCTTCACGGATTCAAACTAGAAAGTGTGGAATAGCTTGAGAGTTCTTCGTGACACCGCATCCCCAATAACATAAGTTCAAATATCAACCTCCAAGTTATGCGATGACCAAACTGTTTTCGGTCTCATGGGTTAGAGTAGTTCATTTGTTCTTTCAACAGCCTCGATGGAGCTGCCTAAATGAACTCTCAGTCTGTTTACACTAAGGGTATCATCACTAGCTCTTATTACATAAGTATGATTGGCACATTAATCTTTGCCTGGTCACTGAGTTACATGACATTTAAAAGCAGAGTTGAATGTGCTTGTCAAGAGCTACAAACATGTGTGCATTTAAAGTTGCTATGATAAGAATGGTGCTCTTCTCCCGATTTTAGCTGTTACTAAGGCCATTTGAAAAATATGGGATACTATTGTTTAATAAATTCAAGATTTTTGGGCTTGTTATCGAGTTTTTACAACTAAAAGTATTTATAACTCAAAAATATCTTCAATTTATTAAATTCGTGTATTACTAAAGGGCTTTATTTTTTATTTTTACCTCAGAACACAAACCATCGAAGTTCAAAAACCCAAAACATCGAAGAGAAAAAAGAAAAAGCTGTAATTGAAAATTATTTGCCTTATGTACGAAAGTATTCAAATAGTTTTGTGTTTTGTTCTAATATCGCGATTTTGAATTAGTTGGTCACTCAGTCGCAAAGTAGAATCCGGTACTTATCCACATCGGTTCAGGTTGCCATACTTCATTAGCACAAGGAAATGAAGTTGTCAGGTCGAATATCAGAGCAGTAGAAGTAGTAACAGTATCAGTGGTGATAGAAAAGATTAGGCATCAAAGATACATTTCGAGATTATATAAATTAGTGAACTATACTCAAAAAAGTTATGAGGGTTTCAAAATCTCAGAATTTGGGGCAAGACGAAGAATAGGGACATCTTTGTCGTCTTGAATCATTCTGTTCAAAGTTCCCAGTCAGTCAGCTGCAACGTAAGACCAGACGCATATATGCATCGGTCGAAGTTGCTACATCTCATAAGCACAATAAGACGAACACCAAATTAATAGAAGTAGTTCCTTCAATGCTAGTAATATGTGAAAGAAAGATTGTGTATAAGGATAATAGTATAGGAAGAAAGAATTAGCTCCTAGCAATAAAGGTATAAAGCAATTTTAGTCTCACGGTTTAAGGATAAACAAAGAGTGTATACACCTACACCATTGTGATCGATTCTGAGCCATATCACCCATAGTCTCCAGCCATTAGTTACAGTAATCACGCGGATCTAAACCAGATAGTCTACACTTACTAACGTGACTCAGTCCAGTCGTCAGTGACCCCATGAACTGATGCTATGTTTCGGTTTGGCCGTCTTTATCTTTCTTCCAGCCTACTTTACTTGTAATGACGAAAACATTTTATAGGCAGTCACAATACACCGTTCACTCTAATCACATGCTGGAACATATGAATAGGCCTCACTAAATATTTACATACCAAACTTTTTGTTCATTATGTGCCGTGTTCCTCAGTAGAAGCACGACCATGGGAATGAAATACTGCTGTGTATAACTGAGTTAAACGTGAGGATAAAAGTGCATTATTATGAAGTTCAAAAAAGTTTCAGGTCGAGGTTAGGACCTAGCCAAACCTCATTATGGAAGGTTGCTTAAAGCCCTCTAGAAAACTTCTAAAACCTCCACACACGGACGAATGATAAGTCAGGCCTCATCACAATCCCAGTGGATTTATTTTTTGTTTACTGAAACATTAAGGTTTGATGCCAATGAATGGAAGCCCGTAAAGTTGCTTTTCACTCTCTTAGTATTGTGAAATGCATACAACTAATCCGTAAAAACTTTTTCTTTCAACTTGACAAATTTCTCGAATTCAGCTACAGATGAACTAACAATAATTACAACTCCCCTGTCACACAAGTAATCTCAAAATGATAGATCTGATGTAGGTTGAGGGTGTGTATACGGTTTACCCCGTTGATCACAAGGACGATTTGTTCAATTTCCTTGGTATCTTTTGGTTTGCAAATTAGCAAGGTATTAGGTAGTCATTACTTAGCACATCGTTAGGAGGCGTGGTTATTTTAAACCTTAAGTACCTTTTTCAAGTTTTTGTCTCAGGATTGAGTATATAAATTCGTAACTTATACTTTTCTTTGCTGCTTAACATGAGTGGAATTCCAAACGGATATTAACGTCGGTCTACTAGCTTCAAAGAAGAAAAGTATGGACAGATTTATGCTTTGTGATACAACCGGATATTTGTATTTCTAAGGTCTTTCTATACACACTTGACTCCTAGTTTTCAGAAATCCAATCATAATACATGAAAAAAGTATTTTGTAAATAGGATTCAATTATACCATAGTTTTGTTAGTACAATTGTACGGGTAGCTATTTGTGTGTATTGAACACTGGCTTGACATGTGGCAGTAACTCTTTATTACAATACAGGTACATTATAATCATTCCAACTCACTCACCTCAGAAACAGAATCTGAATTAATAAACTAAGTCTAGTCTTTGAAATAAAAATAAGTCTGTTGTACTATGTCGATTATCTAGTTTTTTTTTGTACTTCATTGTCCTTGTCATGTAAAGTTTTCTAACATGCGAATTAGAATACCTTCATTGTCTTTTAAATTCAAGGGCAGCTATTCTGTTATTTAAAAATATCATGTGATTTTGGCCATTAAGAAAACTTAAGCGATTGTTAAATAAGTGTATTTATTGGTCACTTATCACCTAGTAAAGTTAGAACCTGGTGATTACGCTTCATTCGTGTCCACTATGTTTCGTTCATTCCTTGCCAGATAATTAGTAACATGAGGTGCAATCAAATCAATGTAGCATGCCTGTTACTGAACGTTTACCGAACTTTGTTACGGTGATGCTACACCAAAAATTAACTTCATAAACTCCTAAGGTTTGCTTTTCTTAGTTAACATAGTGAGCAACTTTTTTGTTTTTCAGAAAGCTGTGTATAACCTTTACAACTCCGTAAAAACACGCTAGGGGTTCCAATAATTTATACTCACTGTGATTATTTACTCAGTTTTTCCTCTCAGAAACTGATGTGGTACTCGAAGTTCGTCAAATGATCCCAGCTAAGCGACGACGTGTAACTACTCTTTTATGATCCTTTGTACCTAAAGAGTAGTATTCTCACTGCTCTTACTAAGTTGAAACAGACTCAATATTACTTATCCCTAGATTTAGTCTTGCTATAGGGTTATTTACCATTATAGTTCCCTTAGTACTTTGACCTCAGAATGCACTTCATTTAGGATGTGTTTGTTAGTTACATTAATGTTTGTTCTATTCCGAAATATGTATAACTGTTAATGTCGTGTTAAATGTGTTCTGAATGCTGAGATATTTTCCTACTATATACATTTGTCTCATAAATCGATAGACGTTGGGTCAATATAAGTTTCCCCTCTAATAACATTTAATGGTACAGGATATGGTTCCTACAATTTAACCGACATAATAAAGTAAACAATCGTGAGTACTAGAATTGCTTTGTAAGAGAATTTCGGGATCCAACCTAACTCAATTCGTATTTCTGAAATAATTGTTGATTTCAGGCTCTAATCCAGCCTATCATCTCTTTCCTAATGAATAAGCTACATTTAATCGTTGACTGTATCGAACTCGGTCACAAAATATAAATAAGCTCGGCGGAACAAGCAGATATCTGAGGTAATGAAGAAGAAAATCGAGGAAAATTTTTATTTTACTATAAAAATGGAAAGTAATGTTATTAGTGTAAAATATATTGGTGTTAAAAAATGAATTTTCGCTGTACATGTGGTGTGAAGCATATTTCTACATTAATTATTGATTATATTCTTGGTTAGAATACACACTACTGTAATTTGTTTACTGGTGTCTAAGGAAATTTTTGAAAGTAATATATGGGTGGTTCATGTATGGTTGTTAGTTGGATGATTCTAATATACATCTACAAATAATGAGTTTGCGATCGAGATTGATCACTGATTAAGATTTTTAATTTCTAAATCTGCCAAAATGCTTTTTTTTTTAACTTGATGGGTTTTCTCTTCTTATCTTTGGTGTTGTATCTGTAAGTGAACTGAAAATACAATATGATGTTGAGTAAAAAACAGTTTTGATAAGTATTTAAAAATTCCAGAAATTATTGACTGATTTAAGATTTAAGTGCCGTTTGTTGATGAATCTGACGAATAGTTTTACTTAGTAAAATGTGATATTATTTCTTCTCACAAATTAATTTTGTTGGATTTGTTGCATCTTACTATTAATTTCAGTCTACGAGTTTTCAGGACTAACGCTAAGGCTTTCAGCATAGCCATTTTAACAGTGTTCCTCACATACTTTTCAATTTTTGTGTAAGTTTACATAAGAGAATCGCTTGGTAAAAAGATTATATATATATGTGAGAATAGTTAGGTTGTCTCTCATCTACTAGGTCATCTGAATCATATCTGATAGTGTTTATGTAGAATAGGTTACAGGCCGGTATTACTGAGTGATTTCATAAAACTTTATAGGTACGGCGACCCTATCACGTTTTTGCATTAACACTTCCTTTTAGTGTGCGTTTAGTAACTATGACTAATACTTTTCAAACTGACTAGTAAATGGTTTGTACTGTCTACAATCCCCTTAAGTTTTTGAATATTTTCTAACAGTAGGATCTGAAGCATGTTTTGTCCCGTTTCACAGTTCTCAGCTGAGGTACACATACGTGTTGGCGAAAATTGTTGCGTTAAAAATTTCGATGTTTTAATCATATACGTAATGATAAATAACTTTTGTTAGTTACTAGTATTGCTATCGTGCATTAATTGGCAAAGATTTATATCTTTTGTGTTGTTGATACGCAGGACTGAAGTGACTTATTTCTGATTTACAGATTGGGCAAAGAACAAATCTTGAATTCTTCGAATAACTATTTAAAAAATAATCGCCTTTTGAATGAAGGTGATACGAAGACATTCATTAAAGGGACTCATATACCAACAGAGATTGATAAGCTTATCCTTGAATACCCACGAAGGCTATATGCAAACGGTTATAACTTACTATGTTTTTCTATCTTATAAAATTCCCGAATGTTTTGGTCCATTCTTAATTATATTTTTCCCGAATCTAGTAAATCTGTATTGTTACCATAAAAGAATCTGATTTGCACATACTGCAAATGATTGTTAGACTGATGTCACACCAACTGTTGCTAAATTATTTTTAATCCTTATTTTAATTATTAGTAATCTGTGTAATTAGTGTTAATAGATGTTAAAATCTGTGGGAGATGAATTTAATGTGCTCTAAACACTACTTCTGATATGATTAGAGTCCATCTTTGATAAAACATCTAATTTTCATTTTAAATGATTTGAAGACTTTATGGTTCTGATGTGATGAAGTTTTATTGAAATGCTAAAATGTATCTAAGTGCCTATGAGGTTGTACTAGTTTATCTTTGATTTATGTCGGGTTTCTATATCTCTTCCTTGTGAAGTTGTCCGATCTGATGGTTATATTGTCATATGAACGTAGTTGATTAATTCCTGTTTGTCCTATTGTATCTTTTTATTTTGAACTTGAACTTCAATTTAAATGGCGCACAATCTAGTTTATTTGTTTGCTATCGTCTTAGTGCCGTATAATGTAATAATCCCCAAAAACCTATAGAAGTTGTCTTATAAATTGAGTTTTAACAGATGCTACTGTTGCAATCTGATATTCATGTTTTTACCTGTTGAGGTAATTTGAAAAAATTCGCCCTCCCCCCAATGCCCTAGCACGGTCAAGGGCGGCGAGAGTTGGCTCTCCCTCTCAAAATGCTCTCATTTGGCCACACGTATACAGCCATGCCAGGGAAGTCCTACTCACTGCCTTCTCTCGACAGGACTAAGAGCGAATGTTCGGCGCTTTAGCCGGGTTAGTAGATACGGAAGATCCACCTAGAGGGTTGGAAAACCTTGATTCCAAAACAATGGTGAACATGTGCTCAAGGATCGTGAGGAAACAAAAGGCATATAAACCTATTGTTGGTCAACGGCTACCGTGGGACTGCATCTCCTAACGTTGTTCCACTGCCTTGTGGATTGGACTTCTAGGTCAAAGACTTATGGTGTGGCCCCCTAGGAAGAACACTTGCTTCTGTTCGGGTACCCGGGCAGCATCCCAGCCCCCACACAAATCAAATGATTCGTGTAGCGCATATATATTTGGTGCCTCCTTGTAACAATGTTTAAACAAATACATTTAGCGAAATATATTTAACCTGAATTATTAATCTCACTGTGTTTCAAACGCAGCACTTACTCCTCCAGTTGTAGTCTTAGACATGAAATTAGTGATTTGGGATCCACTCACTCTACTTTCTACAATATATTTTAAGAGTATGAGAACTTTCGTATAAATTTGAACGAATAGTTTCACAGTAGTTGGGCGCCGAGTTAATGTAAGATATTAGGGATAAAACATATATTTTTAAAATCTCAGTTATTGAATTTTGACCAAATCCAACGTTTCTCTCGGCAATCTTATCAAAGCTTTTTCAAGGAAATATAATCAAACATCAAAATTATCAAATATAAATAGGTACATTGTTTTTTGCTTAACTGTATACTAAACAGATCATTCAATCATGTTATTAATGTTGAATGTAAGAGTTTGCCGTAGTATGTATGAGATACTTGGTGTGTAACGAAGAGTGTGTTGAGATAACAGATTGTATATATTTGTAAGCAGATCTGAGGTGAGAGAAGAAATTTCATGGATTATATATCACCTCTAATCGGTGGATTTTTGAAGAAAGTGGACAGTTTTTATTGATGATATGAGTCAAACATTCACCGATCAACACACTCTTCGTTACACACATACTACGGCAAACTCTTACATTCAACATTAATAACATGATTGAATGATCTGTTTAGTATACAGTTAAGCAAAAAACAATGTACCTATTTATATTTGATAATTTTGATGTTTGATTATATTTCCTTGAAAAAGCTTTGATAAGATTGCCGAGAGAAACGTTGGACTTGGTCAAAATTCAATAACTGAGATTTTACAAACATGTTTCCCCTTAATATTTTAAGTGTTTTGCAGTTTTTATTTATGCTGTTACCAAGTAACTAGCTGTTGGTAATAACAATAATATACAGTGATTAATTATCTATGTAAGTTTATGAATAATTCGGTTGAATTTAATTACAATAACAAATGCCAGCACTTATGAAATAGTAAATAATAATAAGACTCTTTGTCATTTCAATATCTCTGGTAATTCATTTTTATATTATTGATCAATTAATTAAATGAGATATCTTTATGTACTTTCATTTCGTGGTTGTATAACTTCGGAAAATTTCCAATTTTTATTTGAATCATCCTGATCAATTGGCATGAAACAATAAAACTAAATTTAAAGAAATTAAAGTAAAAGGCGTTAATGGCAAAATCAAATTGAAAATCGTATGGAAACAACAAAAATTAGGTTTTTAATATGAGCTGTTCATGAACAGTACTGAACTGAATGTATGAATTGGTTGTCAAGCAACAACTAAGCTGATAGTTAAAGCTAAAGCCTAAATCTCTGGACAAGATAAGTTTAAATCTCATGAACATACTGGAACTCCAGTCATTATCTTCCTGATGAGTACCGGCTAGAACAAAAGCTTGGTCCAGAGCTCATATTTGATTGCTCCCAATAATCTAACGTCAAAGTATTAACATGTATACAATGAGTTACAATAATAATAATTCCACCAAAGTAACTGTTAATTATGTATGCTCTCGCGTCCTTAAATGTAAAGGAATTACACTGTTCGTAATAACAGTCAGACAGACATTAATTGAAATTTTCAGGCATATAATACGATAAACTTTGATCTGATTAGCTGCTGTAATTGACTACCACGTGTGGTTTTCATAATGACAAGAAAATATACAAACTTTCCAACTATATTTATCTTATTGATAAAAATTCCATTTGTTGTAGAAACAGATAGTTGAGTCACAACTACGTAGATTTTTGTGAATCCCTTGGTAATTTTCATGTCAGCGTCTTGCCAAAATAAGCAAATTTAAGAGGTTTTAATCTCGCTAGTAATATCTTTATTTTAAATGTAACTGTAAATGAATCACTGGTTACTGAATATTGCATTATTTATTGTATAATATCCCTTTTTAGGATGTTTTGTAGATGGGAACTTCGATATTAGACGTTTTATTTTAAACTTATTTCATAAAGAATAATTTAGTTCCAAATAATTTAGTAATTATTTATGATAATAAACATCCAAAGTACACTTAAATTTTAGTATAAATTGATAACATAAATCACAGGAACCACAAAACTACTTTCCGTGTATAAATATTAACAACTATTTGTGTTTACTAAACCAATTTAGCTAATAAAAATAAAAAGTGACCTACTCATACATCAAAGGCTTTAATCTTATCATTATATCAACTACCGAATTTGATTATTTAGGATATATTTTATTACAACTAAAAGTGCATATTTTATGTGAAGTTTTTAGAACTTCATTCCGTTTTTGTAAAATAGATATCTACAAGTTCAATATTCAACAAATAAAAAAAGTTAGGATATAGAGAAATTCACTTTATTTGTGGCAAATGTATTAGAAACCAATTTCTAAAGTTTACACAACAAACCACACTGCAATAATAACTACTTACTGGACCAACTAATTTTGAGAAATTCGGTAAATTTTATTTTACTAAACACAGTACTTCAAAACACGGGAGTTGTAGGAGTTTAGCAAGTAAGTTCATTATACAATAATACTCTAGTAAATCATTACAATATTTCAAAGGCTCTAAGAGAGTGCTTCATATTTGTGTAGGCGGATTTTATGAGACTGGTACCAATAAGCTCATCTTACTAAATGCGCTTGTGATTTATATAGGAGGTTAAAATTCTAGAAGTATACAAATACTACTTTAACTTTGTCAGTCACAGGAAGCTGTTTCATCCTAGACCTAGTTTCGTCAGAAGCGTGTGCCGAAAAACCCACACTACACCAGTACTAATACCAACTAAATGAATGTGCTTCAATTGAGTATCCACTTTCAACATGAAAACTGTCCCTGGATTCTTTTCTTCGAAGAGACTTTTGTCTGGGATTTACAATTCGATCATATATTTTTCACACTGTTTGAATCTTTATTCATAACAATGTATTTTTGGTTCAGTTTGATTACATTAATTAAAAACCTCGTATTCTTAAAGTGAGTCAGATGTTTATTTTTAAAGTTCTGACATAAAATCAAACTTTTTATATGGAGAAAATATCTAAAATATCAAAAGAATCATAATAAACAAACTAGTGGAACTTGTTGGGACTGTTTGATCACTTAATAACCAAGTGCAATTAATATGTAAAATTTTTTTAGATAAGTGACCTTTAACATCAACATTGTCAGGAACGACACAATATATTCTGATATGGTGGGATTTGGTGATTAACAGTAGTTAAATCCTATTATGTTATTTCAACCACAAGACCTAAAACTTTGATCATTTTCACATGTGAAATAAAAAAACTATTATTAATCAATTAGTGTGAAGCAGGTGTATGTAGCGACGTACTTTTTGATTCGTACTGCTTCTTAATGTATATTATCTCTAAAGCAATCAAATCCTAAAGCTGTTCACTTAAACATAAGATGACAACAACGTATTGTTTGCACAAGTTTGACACAGTCGAATAGTTTTTTCCCGGACAACTGGGAATTTGACGAAAGTTAGAACTACTTAGTTGGTAAATAACTGCATAAATCTATTTCAGCTTAATGAGGTTCTAAGTGCTACATAAACGGCGTACGTCATTATGGATTTTATGACACTGCTTCGGATTGTAAAGGCATTTATTTATAAGTATCCTCTTACATGATAGGTTTTGACTTTTCACTTTAAAAATCAGCCTGTCCTAGGAAGAAATCTTCAACCGTATAGGTACCTTCAATTAAAATCAGTTTTATATGACTTTCAACGCTTACCATATCATTTTCATAAATTTGAGTATCTGGCATTGGATTAGCAATAACATATCGGAAACCATTTTCTTGCCATCTATATAATCCAAGACATAAAATCTGCCAACATGTTATACAGCGAATGTAGACATCTTTAAAGGTAAGTGGCTTCTAAAATTTTTGATAGTAAGTATACACATTTATTTTAAATTACTGAGCCAATTGTATGTATGTTAGCAGAAGTGCATGTACTACGTATAAATATTACACACATAAACAGCGAGAAATGATTTATGAGATTGTTTACCTAAATGGCTGGTACAGAATAAAATACCCATGTTTCAGTATGAAATTGATAAACGTATCGAACACACAAATTCACTGTAATTTCGTTTCTCAAAACTTACTATAAATCTACATGTTTTTAACTTTATCCGCACATCTTTGTTGTTAGAACGTTAATAGGTTGTTTGATAGCTTTCATTTCCTGTAGCTTAGATCTTCTGGTAGTATCGATGATTTGCCTTAGTTATATGATAGGTTAATTTGGTATGTTTTGGAGGCTCTTGTTATTGGATTTATCCATATTTTGCAAAGCGGTTGAGTCCATTTATTTTAACTTATTCATTTAAGTTAGAATGCAATCATTTGTACTTTTGTTTTGAAGGTTATTTACTTCTAGTCATTGTATACAGCTTTACTACTAGATAACTATTTGTGATATAGATTGTCAATTATTAGATCAAACTAAGTAAATCATTACGGACAATTTTCTTAATGGTTACTTTTGATTCATTTAAATTCGTTTAACCACCAAAATGTAATTCTTGATTTTCACAAAATACTGATAACTATATTCGATCAGCCTATACAATTTATTGTAAAACATATTTCACCTTTTTATGTGTAATGAATATTAAATTTGAAACGGTTATTTCCTTTGCAATTTACCAGGAATATATACATGGTACTTATAAGTAGTTCGAATGGAAATACTTATTTTTCAATCAAACGTAAATGTTCGACTCCCTCAAATATAAATGACCATATATGTATGGTTTTAAGTATTGTAGCGAGTTTGCTACTTTATAATCTACAAAAGATAGAAATAGTTGTCTCTTTGTCCATTCTTCACTCCAATCTTTTAATCGGACTTTACATTGATCTACATTTAACTTGAATAATATCCTCTTGAGAAGTTACAATAAAGTCCCTTTGATTTTCGAAATATGATAAACCATAGACATTTAAGTTTATTTCTCGTACAACAATTCTAAGCCAGTAAGACTGGTCCCCTTCAAATAGTAGTGATTTCCTTTAGTATACTCAAATTCTCATACGTAGTATAATTTATTTATACTGTAGTTAAATATATATATTAAATGATTCTATTTTGTTACATATTAGAGGCTTATAAGAATACACAAAATTGCTAATGAATTTATAATTTATCACATACTTATGATTTATAAAATTGAGCTGATAAATAGCCTCTACTACATTATAATATGAAATATATATAGAACAAAATAGTAGTGCACTTTCTGTCGACTTGTCATAATCCATTTATTTATAAATAACGTTTATTTCACATCAAACATCATTTTCTGACATCAAACATATGATCCAATAACTGACACTCCATTAGCGAATGTATTATCACTTAAAATCAGTTTGTTCCTAAATTTATTTGTTCTGGCAACATCCTTAAAACTAAATAAAAATGAGATTTTTAATATAACATATATATATATATAACTCCTCCTATAGCTCTTCTAGGGCTACTGCCGGTCCCAAACCCGGGTAAAGATGGAGGGTTAGGCATGGGGTCAGCAATCTCATCCCGTAGAAAACAACATTGCTAAAAACAAGGCTAACCAGAATAAACAAATTATACCATTTGAACTTTGCCCTGGGAGTTGAATGAGGAATTATGACGCCTCATGGTGGAAGCCGAGATTCTTCGAAGGTTACGAGGTTGATGCCCCTTTTAAGAACCAGAGCAACAATTAATATAGGTACATGAAATATTCGAACAATGTGGGAGACCAAGAGGATCAACTCGGAATTCTGAAGTTAAACATTAAGAGGAAGGTCAAAGAACACATTGCACCGAGAATTGGAAGATGTCAAAAGAATGAATAGCAACTGGATAGGACTTCCCAGGACAGAGTTCGATGGAGAATGCTGGTGGTGGCTTGTGCTCCTTCATGTGGGATAACAGGCTTAAGCAAGTTATATATATATATATATATATATATATATATATATATATGTATTTCACAACTATAAATTTGATTACTTTCTCCATTATTCGTCATAACTAGTCACAAGAAAATTATACATTGATACGGAAGAGTAGCATCTATGGGTAGATTCTAGTTGATTGTTCGACAAATTGTTACCCACTTTTTTAAGACCATAATGTCATGGATCTTATTTTATGGATTATATACTGCAATCAACATTTGATTTTCCTATTGCTAAATGAATTTGAGTCCAAAAAATGTTTCACTGCTGTTTCTATTGAGCCTCTAACTATAAAAATAAGTTGTAGATTGACTGATTCACTATTCATCTACAGAATTATTTAATCAGTTTCATCATCTTTCTTACGACTAAGTAACTCAACGTCGGTTTCATTAGTTTCATTGAGAACGTGTGAGGAATTTCGTTTTTAACACTGAACAATGATGACATAGTCGTGCACCTGAACTCTTGTATTATTATAAATGTTCGGTTAGTTAGCAATCATATAGCGTAGGTAATTATAGAACTGTGTTGTTTACATCTATGGAATTTAAAATAAATGGACGTGATATATCGAGCAGCAGCTTATAGCTAACTGGCCACGGTAAAGTTTTTCTTTTGGTAGTGTTTGGTTCTATGAGCTAAATGGCTTAATTGATAAACTTCATTGTCGTCATGATCAACGTCATCAGCCCCTACTTCATAGGGAAGTAAACTTTCCGACTATTCTACAAACATGAAGCCAGTCCATTATGACGACCTTGTTTTCATCCGGTTACTTTCGAGATTTTATCATTTTTAGGTATCTTTTTGTTCTTGTTGACAGTTTTGATCGGTTAACCTCTGACCGTGTGATTTATCGACTTTTTTTTCCATGAATCGACATACTGGATCCCTGAGTAATGGTCACACGCGAAACGTAATCAAAATTTGTTCAGTAAATAAACATGACACAACATAAGCACTGACGAGAACTAGATCATCACACCATAAATAAAAAAACGTTTTAGGAATCAGCACTAAGATTCTGGGATCTTTCAGAACCATCGTCCTCAACAAGCGAACACAATCAACTCACATTCCATCCAATGAAGACTTCCGACCCAACAATGAACGAAGATAACTGAAACATTGTTTACGAATTCAACCAAAACAGCTGCAAAAGACAGAACATTGGATAAAGTAGATGCTTCCTTCACTTATACGCAGACACAGGTTAGTGATGATAAAGAACAAGATGCTATCATTTATTACATACAGGCAACTAGGGATATGAATTTGAAAAAGTACTAAATTTATCGACCGAGGGAATTCCAGAAACCTACAGAAGCACTGCATTCAGGTCACTCAGCAATCAACATACACAGAGACATAGATCCGATTTTAAAAATAACGGACGATCACATAGTCAGAGGTTAACCGATCAAAACTGTCAACAAGAACAAAAAGATACCTAAAAATGATAAAATCTCGAAAGTAACCGGATGAAAACAAGGTCGTCATAATGGACTGGCTTCATATTTGTAGAATAGTCGGAAAGTTTACTTCCCTATGAAGTAGGGGCTGATGACGTTGATCATGACGACAATGAAGTTTATCAATTAAGCCATTTAGCTCATAGAACCGAACACTACCAAAGTTACCCACCTGAACTGCATATCTTCACTACCACTAATTACTTCACTAAGTATAATTTTAGACTATTGCAACAGATTGCTTTATTCTCAATGACACTACTTCGTAGTGTGTTCTTGAACAAGCAATGTCACATTAAACAACGTATGTTACAGCAGTTAATGCAAAATCTCCGGATTTGTACTATCCATATACTTACTTAGTGTACCTTCCTACTGTTATATCATGAACTTATATTTTCCTTGCTATACCGCGTACAACTTGAGCACTCGAACGCCCGAACCTTCCAAGCCGCAAGTCAGACGATTAGCGGGAAGGAATCTTATTCCAAACAGTTTTAATTTTGATACAAATTACTCAGGTATTTATAGTTGTTAGTAAAAATAAAATCATCATTACAGTCATCCAATCCTCGTGCAGTGATTTTTAGCATTTGTACAATCGATAAGCTACACGTCAAGATTCGGGAGTGTTCTTCCAAGAGATGACTGGATGGAATGTTTTCGGCTCTTTCTGAGCTTCCTTGAGTTCACCGAGCGCCGTCCCTACAACTATTCGTAGTGTCGTACCGTGCATGATTAATATATTTATTTCATCAAAGTGAAGATATTTATGACGAAATCTAGACAAATGCCACTGACAAAATTTGAAAAGATAAAAAACAGTTAGTTTTCGTTGTAAGGTTACGATATTAAGGTACAGTTTTAGAATTATGATAGGTATTTCTCTAGTGAAGCAGAAGGTTTTACTTCTATACAACAAGCCACATCTATTTCCTAGTAAGAAAACAAACTGAGGTTATCCACATTGTGTTTTCAAGGTCCACTGATTGCTTCGTACCTAGCACTTTCGGTCATTTTTCCGTTTCTTACATGAGTGAGTGCTCCATATTTGAATGTAATATTTATGAAAGATTTCAAGTTCTGATATTTGCCACATATTTGTGTTTTTCATTTGATATGTTGCGCTTCACTACATTTGCCATGTACACTTTAATATGCAGCACTCACCCATTAAATGGACGGAAAATATAACCAGATTTACTAAGTATGACAAGGAACGCTGTAGACAACTTCATCCTGAAAACTTTAAAATTGAAGTAAATAGACCGCTTTAATTAAAAAAGTTTCATTCATTTTTGACTGTCAGTTGCAGGTCAAAATCAGCAGAGAATACTTTAGGCGAATAAATTGACTGGTTTTTTGCTTATAAACGCTCTAACAGCCTTCTAAGGTTTCGCTCATCACGGCAAATCAAAATACCTTCAGTGTGAGAAACAAAATATGTGGTCACCTGACGATATGTTTCTATAGAAATCTGAAGCCTGTTAGATCTGTTATATATTCATCAAAAAGTTTATAATTTGTGTACTTACTCGAAGTGATATTCGAGTTAAGAATTTGAAAGGTGCATGACGAAATCCCCTCAAAGAAACTTTTACTCCAGCCATTCGAGCTGACTGTGGTGTTGCTTGTTGTTGTAGACCTATTTTGTCACGAAGTTAAAGAAGAAAAAAACATGATAATAATTTGTTTTCAAAAACCGAACTAAATTTTTACATACTCATGTCATGTTTATACCGTAATGTGTAGGTAAAACAGATTTCTAATACGCTTAAGCAATCAATGCTTCTTGGGTTACAAAATATCCAAATAAATTTTTCAAAATATTCTACGTTGTTACCACTAGCCATGTAGGTATAAATATTATTTTTAACTTTCTTGTTGTGTAACCTGAAAACGTACATGGACGCAATTTTGTTTCTTTGCTAAAACTAGCTTAACATTTCTACGAAGCCGTTGATTCATTTAACCACTAAACCGAGATGACTATTTCGTATAAATTTATTTTTCAGTCGGAGAGTATATTGAAAGAAGAATTACCGAAACCTCATACAAGACTAGTCGAAACTAAGTGATAGCCTTTTGATCAATAAACACTTCACTTTCAGGATAAATGTAATTTTTTAAATATACTTTAGTATGGGGTTTCAGATGTATTCTATCAATTATTCGAGTTTCTACATCGAATTAAGTTAGACAGTATTTTGCATTCTTGATATTTTATCTATTGAAGTTAACCTTTGAGTTTCGAAATCGATAAAACACAAAGTAGTAGCATATTTAGTCTATGACATATTTTTGTTCTATTTACTATTTTGATATTCTATTTATCATGTAACTGACTTTATCCTGATCTATCTTGTACTTACTACTGATTTAACCTAACTAATTGATGTAATGAAGGTTAATATAATCCTATAAATCCGCTATGTTTTATACATAATAATTTAGGCTAAATAGACTATTCAAGAATAGTATATTCTACTCTGTTCCTCAAACATCTATAGACAAGAAGGGGCTCGAAGTTGTTACTCAATAACTTGACTTTAAGTCCATAACCGAGTAGAAAATGCATACCACAATTAAAAATTTTTATGTCTAAATTCAAATGCTTTTTCATTTATTGACATATTTTCAGTACTAAAGCCCCCCAGAAATCATTCTGTTTACATTTACGATACATAGTTAAAAAATATTAAACTTATTATTCTCACATAAAATTAAGACCTTTGGGAATTTTGTAAAATCCGAGAAGTCTTATTTAAAATTTAGAAAAATACTTCATGCTACATGACAGAAGTGGTATTCTTACATATTTAGTTACTTTACCCGAGTTTATGACCTGAGGTAGCTTCAAAGAGGTCCCAGACAGAGTTGAAAGTAGTAGTCTGAGGCAAAATTACTATTTTAACCATGAACGAGACAGATCTAGCTGTTTAAAGTTGACTATTTTAAAAACTCAGACCAAACAATAATCTGTTTTGTCACTCACTAGTCACTTCTTACAGAATGTGACGATATTGTTAATAAACTTCCTATACGTTGCAGCATAATCATTTGAATACATCCACTCGATCGCCAATCAAGAAGACAGGATAGAAGTTGATGAAGACAAGACCACTAAACTAGTTAGATGAGAACGTGAATAAGCAGCACATATGTATAATAGGCTACCAAAGTGGCATCGATGCTTTGTTTTATTAAAACTAACGAAGTTAGCATAAAAATGTTAAGTACTTATAGGATTGTTTATTTAGGGGTATTGTTTATTGCTACGCGATTATATGATTTATTAATCTCACCTGCTCCAACAGAAAATGATGCTTCAAGTTCATCAGTTGACTGTCCAGAAATTAAAACTCGAAGGAAACGAAATATATTATCATTGTAAAAGAACTAAACGGAAAAAGGGAAATTTTTAAAATTATTTTACACAAAAGCTTTGTAAATCGTAAAGTATATAACTTTAATGTAGGTTTTTTAACACTGTACTGTAAGACTGCATTAACTATTCCATGACTATATTCCTTAAAAATCCTTCGTTATTCCGTTCTTCTGAACCATGTCTACATGTTGTTCCTTTTGAATGAGTAAAGTTCGTGAATTAGATTAGTTATAAGGATGATTCAGCATTTTATTTGTTTCCATATATTGTATCCGCAAGCTACGGAAAATTGATTTATGGAAATAGCAAGGTTATTTTTTTCTTAGAATAAAAAACGCCTAACTTTTCGTTCTGTATTCAGTCTTCTAAATTTACCTCACTATATGTGTTTCGTAATGACTAGTGACTAAATTGATAATGAGCCATTTTTGTCATTTTGAAGATTCACCATCTATACATAAGTTTTTGTTATATCCTAGTGAAGATTACATTACGATTAACGTCTGAGATTTATTAATGGACTATTATCATTCATATATTGCCATGGTATAAATATTCGGTAACTAGATTATGTATATCTATATTCCCCTTGTTATAAGCTTTGTTTTGACTTATAATTTATTATTGTACGATTTACTGTTCTTAAGCTATGTTCAGTTTATTGACTACGGCCTCCCACGTTCACAGTCACTTTTTGGCTTTATTGTGCACAAGTGTTATTTCCTATTTTATGGTGCGTTGCGGTCTGTTTGTTTGGTATATAAACCCAGTATGTCTGACATAAATGATTTAATTCGCATAGTGAAAGCTGGTATTGGTGTTCTGGACTCAAGTGGACGGGGTAGGCGGACATAGGACCAATAAGGACTCTAGGCTGCTCATACCGGTCGAACGTCATTAGTTTGGCACAGTTCTATTATTGTATAAGTCGTATTTTGATTGGTGAATAAATCACGTGATAAAAAGCCGGACATAAAGTCACAACAGTTTTATGGGATTACTTCAAATAATTAGATGCTATCCACCAGAGGGTTACAGTAACAAGTATGTTTAATCTACCAGTTATTATAAAATACAATCAAGATGAAGTTATTTGTTAAGTGGAAGCATTTACAGAGAGTCTACACTAACAGACATTCAACAATTCAATCGTACTAATCAACAAAAAACAATTACAAAGTACTGCAATGAATAATTATGGTTAAATACTACCGGCAGAAACTGTCATCGCTTATCGTAGCGATAAACTGGATACCAGAATAAAAGAGTATTTGTAACAATCTATTCATTTCAAATTTTACTTGGTACCTGTAAACATTAAAATGATCACCATACTTACAAACTTGTTGAATTCATTCCAGTGGCTATTTGTTTTGTCGAGAAATGAGTAGATTAGAAATATAAATAATCCACTAAAGTCTAAATAAAAAATTTTTTGAACCATGTGTTGATTGAAGTAATACAAAGTTCCAGTCATTAGAATTAAACATAGTAATTTAAGTAAAATAGCTTTATTAAAACTTTTTATATTCCTTTCTACCATCTTGGAAATGGTCTTCAAGCATAATTTTAAGAATTTGACCATGTTTCATTTCTCAGTACTTAATTGTTTGCAATTATCATGGTAATTGAATTTACTGATAAATAAAGGCAAAGGCACTAACCAACTGGATATGTTTATCGTAATTGTCTATTAAGGTTAAATATTCATATATCCAATTACCAATATACATATACATTGTACACTATTGATGTTTATTTATTTACTAAATAGTCAATCATGTTCTTAATTTATATAATTTAATCACTTACAGAACTCAAACAGCTATATAGTAAAGTGTTGCTAAAAATAATCCCCCGAGCAAATGGTTCACTAAACCATACTGGTAATTTGTAATCATTTTCATGTATGTCACCTGAACTGAACAAGTAGGCATTTTTTTCATAATCTAAAAAATATAACATGGGAGAAAAATATGTATGCATGTATATACTGGTTGATGATAAAAAATTGAGATAAATCAAAGAAACCAAATATTTATTAAGGTAATACTTGAAAAATGAGCTATTATCCAGGCAGTTTTCATCATAAACTGACTGAATTTGATGCTGTAAATTCATCAGCCTATATTTTATGCATTCATCATGAGTTCAAAGGGTTTTGTACTCAATTCATTTGGTGTGATGGACACCCACAGTTGAGTAGTCGATAACTAAGATGGTATAGATGTTTGGTGTTGCGTTTTGTCAATCGGTTCTTCACTAATATCTGTTAGTAGTGAAAATCAAATACAAAACAAAACATGTTTAATCTGTTTTGGTTCATTTTAAAATCAATGTTCGGGATCTTTCACTTAATGTGATGTTGTTAAAATTCATATTTTTGAACTTCAATTATCGATAACCACTTATCTAGACAAGATTAAACTTAAAATCTTTACTGATCAGATTTTCAAATTATTCCATGTGAATCGTACCATAAAAGTTCTAAGATCATTAAATACCAAAAAATTCCGTTTTTTTGTTTGAATATCATGATTACGTCAGTGTCATTTTCAACAGTATCCATACTACTAGATGAAAAATATATGAATTTTAATTATTTTTTTGATGCATACATTTAAAAAGTTTCACTTGACATCTAATTGAAATATTAAACATTGGAATTATAATTAGTAAAGACATTTTGTTTCTTTTAGCAGCTAAGGAACTACGTGGATCAATTTGCATACTTTTGTCATATTTTAAATGAATCTAATAGACATACGTAATTCTGTTGTTAAATGAACCAAATGTTGTTCTTTTTGCAATAATGATCGAATATTCATTGCACACAATAATGTTACTCTGTCTTGAAGACTTGGATCAACACATTGTGAATGAGGCTCTTCCGCACTGTAGCCAAGCACCACACAAGCATTACATTGACATAAATGTACTGAGTGTAGATCATTAAAACTGCATGGATCACCCTGTGGAAAAATAAAAAGACAAAAGTGAATATTTTGAGCTTAAAATTTATTCGTTTTTAAGTTTAATAAAACTTTGGTGAGTAACATTAGGGTTATCCGTCAGTATGGGGTTGTGGAATTTGTTGACTTTCATTGAAATCATGAACCGATCTGAGTTTGACCACCATTAAAAACCTGGAAGCACTAGAAGGCTGTTTCATCCTAATCTGAGACTCCCCACTAGTGCTCATCCACGACCCTTCAGGTGGGAATCAACCCCAGGACCTTTGGTCTTGTTTACGAACGCTTAACCTACAGAACACTGAGGTCGAGAGTGTGAACTGCTAAGGAGTCCCACACGAGTCCTAGGTTCCCAATGGCGGTCCAACTTAGATCGATTCGTGATTTCAATGAAATAAGATATACCTTTCGTCCGTTTCTTTTTCTTCCATTTGTTTATATCAACTTGACCGTCAATGAGGTCACTTATAAAAATTTCTTCCCAATAAGACGTAATAAGTCTTCAAAATATATTCTGATAAACTAGTCATGTTTATGAAACAAGAATCTTGTTAATTTGCAGGTCAGCATTTTGTTGCATTTAACTCGTTTCTCCAAAACTTACTGAGAGATTATTTAAAGGTACTAAATAAAACAGTACTTTTTTTACTTTTAATTAACTGAGCACCACCTGTCCATACAGTCTGACAAGACAACGAATAGCTAATAACTATACTATTTGATTCTCAATAGAATGAAAAGTACGCTATCGAACAGGCCATAATTAATAACCACTCCGCTGCTAACTGACTAAACTTTAGAATCCTTTATAAATTTAACATCCCGTTAGGCTGGTAAAGCGTTTCCATATTTATTGATGTAAACCAATCTTTGCAGATTTGTGATACTACTCAATACATAAAATTGTCAAGTTAACCAAATAAACTGACTGATTTAATTTTGTATTTTGTTCAATTTGTGAATGTTGCTTGCGAGTTGAAACTGTTAACACATGAACTTTCGCGCCAAATCAGTTTTCGCTCATGTACATTCGTGATAAATAGAATATGAATATAACATATAACACTTAGCTCTAGATGAGTATCACTACATGAATAATAAGAAATAACCAAACCTATGTTTTGTGAAAGTAGATGACATCTAGCTTAATAATTAATGTTGGATGTAACAAGATTTCAAGCCTAGGACAAATGGAAAGTCTACTGTTAAACACTAAATTCTGTCACATGAGAATTTTACCATATTTTAGTGAGAATGAAATAGCCACAAATGTATTCAGCGAGACCCAATTTGTATTCAAACAATATTGATTCCAATTATAATTTAGTTGTAAGGGTCTGCATTTTCTTGTAGTTGGTGTTAAGAACTGTAACTTGTCAGTCTCTATTGGCATATGTACATCCTTAGTAGGCTACCTCGAGGTATTCGATTGAGTAAATTTTTTCGTTATACTTTTTGATCTGATAATGTATACCTGCAGTCAAACTAAAGCTTCTGTTTCACTATCGTTGGGAGTGTTAAAATCCCCACAAGAGCCGCCTACTCGCTATTTTGCTACTTTTGTCTTTAAATTTGAATTTCTGCTTTTCTAGAGTTGAAATTTCACCGGCGTGACACTATTATTACCTCGGTTAAAGAAAATTTCTACTTACTAGCCCGTTTTTATTTTAGAACGCTATTTTCCCGCCATATTTTCAGGGACATTGTCAATGTATCTGTATACAATAGTTCCTTGCAAAATGAGATATTTTTTATCTTTCTCAATAAGTCTTCAGCGTAGGATTTGTCTTTAGAACAATTCGCAACAAGCAAAATGATAAGCATCTTTTTATCCTGTGTATCGATATGGAGGCTAGGAGTTTTCATTCCATGGACAATTCGTATCAATTGTGTTACTTGCATTATCTGACTTAATTTAGTTGACTCAAATATCAGTTGTTATTTCTGTTTTTTAAACAGGTTGTTTCGTATTAAGGCGAATCACTTAATTTTCATGCAGAAATTTGCATAACGCCATGTTTACGTTGAATACACTAACTAGATTGGATTTATTCGACTGTAATTAGTATTCTATATTTAATTGAAAGGTACCAATCAACCATAAACATGCCTAGATACTTCTAATGAATTATTTTTCCTTTCAAATTTTTCTTATGATTGTAAATGATAAAAAAGAAGCTTACAGGGAAAATTATATTCTTAAAACATAATGATTTAAACACTGTAAAAATAATTCCACTAAGTTCATGATTGTAGTACATGATCGAATTATGAAAGTATTTGTAAGAAACTAGGTCATTTTGTCTCGTCACCTGTAACAAAGTAATAGAGTATTTCATCGTATTGGAATATGAATTATAACACATATGGAATTCCGGTATTTTTTTTGAGCCTGTAAGTTAGAGGTATTCTTTACTATACTACAATTATTCTTGATTATTTTATAATTCAAAAACTAGAGCATACTTTTTGTTTAGAATTTGTGTAGTGTCGTTTTTGATAATGGAATAACACAGGTAGTGACAACTTTTTGAATAAAATCTCACAATATTTTTAAATGACCTAAATCTTATAGCTATGGAAGACATTTTCATGATCAACTTACGTCGACGATAAATATTCTTGGAAGATTTTTTAATTTCACCCATTCCAACGGCCCAATTAAATGACTATCTCCTAGGATCACGATATCTCGAACACGTTGCCAATGGAACCGTAGTGGCATGATGAAATTCTCCAAATTAAGAGGACCGTTTGTTGATTTTCCAGCAACACATACAAGGAAATGTCTGTTAAAATTCAGACTTGCTGCTTGATTTGGGCTCTTTAACAGATAAAGATAGCAAGGTTATCCGAAATTAGTGTAAATAAAATCTAAGCCGATACGATTAAAAAACTTGTCATGCCAAACAGAAGAAGCCGGTGCAATCTGGAAGTCGGTTATACTGACCACACTATTAAAATATTTGCATTTGTTTGATATAGTATGTTTCACTTTATTCTCACAAAATAACACAAACACTGACTGTTTGAATAAAACATCATTATGTCAGATTTTGGTATGAAATTCAGTAATTTTTTTAGAAATTATATCTTTTAATTTTACCACTAAAAACGATTAGTAGTATGAATTAAAACGTAAAATTGTAGCACAAGTTTTGGATTAGCCATCCAACAAAAGTTACTTGAATTGATTTCTTAAAACAGCAATTTACCAGGCTTTCTAACGACTCGAATATATAATTGGATAGAACAATAATTAAATTCCTTCAATGGTTAGTGTATCTGAAGATACGACTGGAAACAACAGGTCATTTTGTAATCATGAATCCTCTATAGAACCTTAGTATCATCCTACTGAATAAACAGCAAACCTAGTATTATATAAACGAACACTTACCAACGTGGCCCTTGTAAGTGGGATATCTGGTACCCAATGAAATGATCCGGTACGATCTACTTGTGATGAATGTGATGGAGCTCGTATTGGAGAATAATTCATACACCTTGTTGGAATATTATTTGGGAGTGCTAAATTTCTTGAATTTATATCCATTTTTCTTGTTTCACTTCGCCCACGAGGTTGATCAAATAGTAGATTTCTTGTATCATGTAATAAATTAGGTGATGTTGCAGTAAATGAATGACGAAAAAAGTGTGTAGATCTAGTATCATATGACCATGTTTCACTATAAACGAAAGGATAGATATATTTAAATGTAAACATGCATATATACTATCTTTATCAATATGATATTTCATGTAAAGTTGTTTGATAAAAAATTCGTTGAATTATGCAGCCATTAAAATATTGTGCACAATTTATTATGAATGATAAAAAAATGTTTAGTAGTAAATGGTTAAAGTTAATTAAATGACGTTTTGAATTTAGGCTACATAATTGATGGTTCCTCCATCCATTTTATTATTTACAAATTGAACAAACAGACAAATAATAAGACTGGTAAATATTTCCTTTCAACAATTACTCATTCGGATATATCGTTATAGCATTTGATCTTTACTGCAGGATATCATCTCTAATGTATGCTTTACTAGACTCTCCTAAGTTTAAATGCATATGAAGTCACACTATTCTATACACTTTCTTTTATTATGTTGAAATATTGACTAGCAATACTGTGGTTTTCACCAGTATTCTATGCTTTGATATTTATTATCGTACATTGCATAATTATAGTAGTCATGTAAGTTTTAAATCTCCATCATGAATACATTCTATCTACTTGAGACAAAAATTAGTATCTGTTAGAACACAAATCATTCCTTAGATTTAACTAACCATCTGTATGACGTTTTTTTCTTTTTTTAAGTGGTCAAGTTATTCGAAATTATCGTCTTTCCTTTCCTCTTACTAATACTTTTTATTGACACTTAAAAGGTATGTTATCAATGTTAAAAATTAATCTTTCATAATGTATACCTCTTGATCGTTAAATATAAAGGATTGTTTTCAATGCTAATCGATGAACACAGTTATCTTAATGAGCAGAATAGTGACTTCTTTGTTTTCATAATAAATAGATCTCATAAAATAAATAAGTGAACAAGAATTATTGGTGTTAGTTAGGCACAAAGCTCATATAAATAATATTCTTAAATGATAAACCTAATAATTCAGTAAAACTAAGGTTCTATTTTGTTCTCTTACTGAATTATGCAATTTTAGTCAACAGTTCTTTTTAATGATTTCATATCTTCACAGGAGATAACATTGTATACTAAAAGAAAGGTAGTATTAGCTCAAAGATTTTCGATACAATGGATTTATTTGTTTTGAGATTGTTTTATTAGTATAATCCGCTTTATAGCAAGTAACAATTTCAAACTGGTCGGTATTAAACTGGATTATTAGTTTATGAAAACGTATTTATAGCTATTTTTAGCGGGACAAATGCCTATATTGTTCTATATTGACATACAGATTTATTTAAATAGGCTTACGCTTTAACAGCATTTTCTCTGGCTTTCCCAATTTGCTCATATAGTGCTAAGTCTAAAATAAGATAGAATAGGTCAATAGTTCAAACAATTTCCTGTGAAAAAGTAATGCAAAGAAGCAATAACTTTGAAAGTTAAGTAGTTGTTTTATCAACATAATAAACCATACAATATCAAAAGACAATTACTTATTACAAACATATTGAACTAGTAAATATAAACCATAGTTCAAATCACGGACTGATCTTAGGTAGACAGCCATTGAAAACCAGAAAGCATTGGACCGCTGTTTTGTTCTGGTTTGAGAGTCTCCAGTGCACACTCAAGTTCCTAGAATGTGAGATAGAACCGAAGACCAATTGTTTCGCGATGAAGGCATAAGCTTTATACTACTGGTTTGGGATGGTGTACAAGTGTAATTTCAATCAATTTCTGATGTTATATGACCACGTTCTACTTGCTGCTGTAGATGACATTCAGATGCGATTCTAGAAGTTCTAGTGAGAACCTTTGACAAGTGGAGTTCAACCATGTTGGATATGAGACAATTATTCACAACAGGCGATGGGATGTTTTCACAGCTTTTTGACTGATAATGACTTACAATGCGATATGTCAGTTCCTGTTCGATGAATTTTAAACTTTTAGTCTCATGATAACAGTATTCTTTTTTAATGTATACTTAAAATAACTTTGTCACTTTAAGATGATTGTTTTTATGTTACTCAATGTCTTTTGATTGATGCTTTCCGTTCACGTCTTTAAGCTTATCCTGACAATACTAGGTAATTCACTCTAATAGTTATCATGATATATGTGGATCGTGCAAAAATGAAATTATGAAGTACATGTTCGTACACCAAATTGGGCTGAAGAAGAAAACATGTTTGATTTTCTAGGTTTGTGCGAACCAAAACGTAACTTCTAACACTTCTGTTTTGACACCCATTAGTTTCTGACCGCGTTCAGCTTAAAACACAATTCATAACCTTCTCCTATTTTTGAGGCCAATGACATCATTTTGCCAGTCAATAAAGTTTCTAAAGACTTGGACAGAAGTAATTTAGTTTACGTGTCTTGAATGTTCCAGAGTTTGACAATATCTTACTGTTACTGGAAGATGTCTTAGTTTCCGACATACGAAACATTGATTAGGCACTTGAGGAGGAGCTAGAAGGACGACTATTGAAACTGAAGGATTGTACTTATTTTGGTGTAATGTACTGTTACATATATTCTCTACTGATAGCGATAAAACAGTTAATGATCTAAAATTGTAAGCAATAAAGACTAATACCTTATATTTCATTGCCTGCTTTTTTTATTTATTATAAAAAGTTTCATCTTTCAAACTAGCTCTTTTGGGTAAAATAAGGAGAAGCGAGAATAAATTGTTGTGGTATAAAAAAACTATCGAGTTTGAAGGGAAAATCAACAATATTATATTTCAGATGGTGGCTAGTGAGGGAAGTTAGAACATGCTATTTGTCCCACCTAGGACTCATCTGCTCGATTTATGTATCTCGGTTTAAATTTTCACAGACTCAAAATCAGTAACCATGTCCATATGGCAGCAGAGAATGATTTCACGTGGTCCTGAATGTCGAAACAAATAATAACCCCCACTAATAATGATGAATAATACTTTTATTTGTCTCAAAAGACCTATCGATCTCAATATTTTTTTATAGAAGGTCTTACGTCTTCATTATTCGGAGACATTTTGGATAGCTTATGAAAGTTTTTATTTCATTACATAAAAAACCGGATGTTATCTTTCTGTGAATAGTTGCTGACCTTCCAGCAGACTATGTAAAAGTTAACATTTAACTCTTCAGTAGTATGGAGAAAATTAACTGAACATTATAATCTCACTAAAGCTATCAATTTTCTAAAGTAAACACCTATTTGTCTTTGAAATTTCTGTTTACCAATCTTTGACAAAGACATATCTAACTTACCTCTAGCAATTGTTATCTTTCTTCTTTTTTCTAACACAGGACGACTACATCTGCATGATTGACCAATTAGATGTCCTTCGCATGTTATGCAATAATACTGCAAGCTTATTAACATTTGAAAAAATAGCATAGAATTAGTAAATACTTTAAGAAAGATTACATTCGAATAATGCAATTCAAATGTGAATTAACTTCAATTACTGAAGATAAATAATAATAACTTTTTTATAAAAGGATAAGGATAGGAAAAAACACTAAAACTATCTGTTGACTTTAGAAAGCTTCAACAAACCCATTGCCTTCAAGCAGAATTGCTTGGGTTTTGGTTAAGTAACTCGGTATAAAGTGGAAGTGAGCAATCTTAAGGCTGGAATAGGGTAATAGGTAGAGATAATAAATAGGCTGGTGTGGTAGTAAATTTCACTCAACTGAGGCGATTGGGACATGTATTACCTATACCCAACCACCGCCTACCACGACGGGCGATGTTATTTAATGTATTAATAAGCTGGAAGAAAGTCGGGGGTAGACAAACCACTATGAAACATCAGTTCATAATGCCGTGAAAATTGGGCTAAGGTATGAAGGTAAGTGCAGACTATGTGTTTTGGACCAGCGTGATTATTGTAACCAATGTTTGGAAACGTTGGGTGAAATACATCAGAATCATTCCTACTTTATCTTCTCTCAGATCCTTAGTCTCAACATGATCTTATGGTATTTTCTACTTCACAAATCATATCTTGTATGTCTAGTCTTATCTACACCGATAATGTTTCTACTTCAACCGCTCTGGAATTTACCGTGATGATCTCTTCTCATCGTGTTAATGTGGAGCGGGGAATTAAATCTGTGCACGTATGTCCCAGGTTCTACGTCCCATTCAACTGACCGACTGATTTTCTATTTGCTAGTTATACATTATAAGGATGCCAAAAATTTCTTTATAGAACATACTTTTTCGATCCATAAAGCTAATATTTCGAATAAATAATGTTAGACTTATACTTGACTAATCATTAATGTTACTAAAACCTGGAATGGTCGACATTACAAAATTAACGAGGATAAATTTATATAGAGGTTGAAAAAAATTTATACAAGAACCCTCCAATTCTGATTTCAGGAAATAAAATAACATGAAGTATCCGTGCGAAATGTTGATAGCCTAGACTGTAATGTTTCAAATAGTCTAATTAACTAGTCATAGTCATTATCGTGAGAAGGGGTTTTGTGTAGACTTTAAAAAGTTCACTAGTTGAAATCATGAGTCAATTGAAGCCAGATCACCATGGAAAACCTGGAAGCACTGGACGGCCGTTTCGTCCCAACATGGGACTCCTCAGTCGTTACTAGTTGAGTCCAACCAGGTCTGTTGTGAGATATCAGCTCACTGAAGACAATGGTGTACGGTGGTGCAACTTTGTGGATTGGTTGAAATTAGACATTAACACCGTTTGATGCCGGCTCAGTGGTCTAATGGTTAAGCGCTCGCGCGCGAGACTGATAGGTCCTGGGTTCGAATCTCGCGGGGCGGGACCGTGGATGCGTACTGCTGGGGAGTCTCATACTAGGACGTAACGGCCGTCCAGTGCTTCCAGGTTTTCCATGGTGGTCTAGCTCATGATTTCAACTATTGAAATTTCTAAGAAAAATCTCCACAAAACCCCTTCTAATAATAGTAATCATCTGCTCACTAGTGACTGACTTCAAGATGCATTTCCTGGAGTTCTAATAAATAGTCATTATCGTTAAGACTAGTTAGAGATGAGTATATATATATATATACCTAAGGTCAAATCAGACTGTTATCTCTCGATTGATCTTTTTTTGGTAGCCTCTTTGTTTTACGCTACACTATTTGCTGTTAACGGTTTAGATTCTATTTCTATTTTTGTAACTCATATCTTATAACAGGCGTTATCACTGTATTTCACCACAATCGTCCATACTTTTAACTTGATTTATTGACTGAGTCTACGTTTTGTATTTAGTGACATTTCTACTTCTCGTATTTTAACGTGGTTGTGATCGCTGCATTTTGAAACTATTTAATTTGGTTGAGTTATTTACTTAAAAATACTAGCACAAAATTTACTTTTGTTAACTTCTAACAACACTGAAACTTGATGCAATTATGATCTGCATGTCAACTTACTACTTCAAGTAACATTGATATTGCTCAGTTATTTGAAAAAAAGTGACTTCCATTTGACTACAACTCTTACAGTGTAAACAACGCCTTTTATATTTTGGTTTTGTGAATTTATGTTCTATTATTCTATAATACTGCTACCTTATTTTTAAAAAGTTCTCATGCTTTCACATGCAACTGGATGGTTAAGTTAAAATATTGTCGCGAATTCTGCCGTTTATCTGAGAAATAAAGATCAGTAATATACAAAACCATTTGTACCTTTTAAATTTCTAGACGTTAACTATGATCTAGTCAAACTTCTACCATTAATTTATTATATAAACAAAGGTGATAAGTTTTGAAAAATGATCATTCACGGTAAGCAATCTAAGTACTTGATTATAAGATCATATAACTCTAAACATGGTTGTTACTTCATTAAAATTATAAAAGACTAAAGTAAATCACCTACTTTAAAGCAGAGCTATAATCACTAGATATAACTATTGCGCGCATTGAATTATTATTCACTGGACAGTTTACTTCAATTGGATTTATAAGCATTGAAGATTTTTCTAGCCCATTGATACGTATGGCTAGTAGAATAAGATTCCACTTTTCATAAACAAAACTGAAACATAGAAGGGTAGACAGAGAGAGGGAGCGAGAACGAAAGACTATAGGAAAGAGGAGAAATACCTCATAAATGATCATATAGATTGATTTCACAACAGAAAACCAAGGCGAAATAGGTGTCTAGTGCTCTCTAGTTTTCAATGAATCCTCAAATGATGTGGAATTAAGACGAAAACTGTCTTGCCACGTAACTACCATTCACAATACACTTAAATAAATAATTTTGCTTTATTGAGATGTATGGAAATTTTTTAAAAAAGCAGTACATATGGGTCTGGAAAAGAGTATTTGATAAAGCAGTGGATTTTTTTTCCACAAAGTCATACAAATCTATCTCCTACATCACAGAACAATCAGTAAACTGAAATTTAAGGTTCTTAATTTTGTTAGTTTGTGGAAATGTGTTCATTTTGGAAGTAGTTTTCATTGCAAACTGATGTCGTCGAGAAAACCAATGAAAACTATAAACAACTGGACAGGTATTTCAACCTAGTTTAATGCTCGCCATCATTGTGCACTTATAACTTCATATGAGATAGAAACTAAGACCTTCGGACCTTGGGGTGAACTCAATTCTAACCAACTATTGAATTTAATCCAGTTATGAGCATTATAACTTTATTATTCATTCTAGCTCGTAGTATTTTTATGATTTTTCACATTTTAGACTGGTTGCACTATAAATATACCACAAAATATGGATACTAAGTCATTTTCTTGTAACCGATCTTACCGTTGAAACTAAAAAGACTTGCTTAAATAAATATACTTAGTACGGAACTTTTTATATTAATCTGAGTTCATCCGTCCTAATATGTTTAAGTAAACGAAATTAGTTAACAACTGAGTCATCAGGTATTCATAACCAATCTTATGATTCTGCATCTAGATGCACAAGTGTTTTGATTTTCGAACACTACAAAACACTATGAGGGAAATGGAAATGTCTTGATATCTTTTTTATTAAGAGAAAATAAAGGCTAAGGGATGCTTGCTTCAGAGTAACCTGTTCAAATCAATAATCTTTGGTCGATCTTAATTATCAAACATATAATTATTTTTGTGAAATAAAGAAAACCTAAATAGCGTTAGAATGGGCAAATTAAGACGTTTAAGAACAGGTGATCTCTGGAAGAAAAAATCTACTTGAACATGTTATATTTTTCATGTGATTAAATTGTATTTTATAATTTAATGTATCATTCAAATTCACTTGATATTAATTGGTTATTTTAGGCTTTTATTTTCGTTGGCTAACCACCGGTATTTCATTATTTTGTTGCATAAAACGTTCATTCGCACATTAAACGGTTTTTGTTTTTGGAGTAGTGCCCAAAATAAACATGTCTACATCAAAATCCCTTAATAACCAAAAAGTTCGACACGTACAAATTCACTTGTATATTCTATAAATATTGGAACATTTAAGAGTTATGAACAATAATTCATTTGTTTTCCTATGCAGCATCGAAATGGTCTTACTATCAGACAAGTTTACAACATCATCAATGAAAAATGCTGTACAATAGCACTTTCACGAATGTAAAATTGGTTATTAAGATATACTTAGTTAACTTGAGTGGGTATTAAGCTGTGAAATGATTCCTATTTCAAACCCACAAATCGTACGGTTTATTTTCACCTTTCTTATAACTGAGTTGTTATTTCCTACTCTACCATTGTGGTGGACTCAACTCACAAGATTGTTTGTAAGTAGTACGTAGCGAAACGTGGCGCTGAAGTTGTTACAGTCGTCAGAAGAAGAGCATGGTGCAGGCAGAACACATGATGACCAGACGAAAAGATATTTCGGATTATAGAACACACCGCAAGATGCAAATGAAAGATTGAAGATTATGTATACGTGATATATAAATGCTTTGTAATTTGCCTGTATTCTTCGTTTGGACCGTCGCTTTTCAGCCATGAGCACTAATCTCCGTGAGTCATTATAATATACTAACAGATATTGTATATTAGTGAGTGTTACTTTCAGTAGATTAGTGACACCCACTGCCTAGGTTGATATAAGGAAACAAATCGATAATGGAAATCTAAATGTAAACTTACATAGCTAAGTCTCTAATAAATAGGTTTGAAAATTCATGACTAATGCCAACATCATGTAGTTGCATTCGAAACCCATACTCATATTCTATCCTCCAACGTTCGTACTAAAACAGGCCGAAGTATAAAAGTAGATGAACAGCATAAACAAGTTAACATTCAAGTTCTATTGTCTTTAAAATATAGTTTTTTTCCCATAAGTGGTTTGATAACCTAAAAAAATTTTCTAGTCAATAAAACTTCAGTTAAGTGCATAAACTAAGCATAGATTTCGAACAAAGAACCTAACATGACAATCCCAAATTCCGATGAGTAAATTTTCAAAATATAGTACTATCACAGCAACAACACTAAATATTAGGAAATTCCAATAAAATTTTGATCTCCAAACTGGAGAATAAAAATAAAACTGCAAAATTTACTATGAGTACATAAATAACACAAGGGTGTATCAGGTGTGAGCACCAATAGTTAATTGTTACCAATCTATTCACTGTTTCCCTAATTAAGTTACTATCCACTGAGCATATTTAGTAAAATCAGCTTATTCGTTAAGTAACTAACTAATTTTCACAGATTGAAATCATGAGTCAGTTGAAGCTAGACCACCATTTAAAACCTGGAAGCACTGGACGGCCGTCTCGTCCTAGTATGGGACTCCTCAGCAGTGCGCATCCACGATCCCGCACCACGCGGAGCTCGAACCCAGGACCTACTGGCTTCGCGCGCGAGCACTTAACCATTAGACCACTGAGCCGGCATCCAACGGTGTTAATGTCTAACTGACTCATGATTTCAATCTGTGAAAATTTCTAAAAAAAATCTCCACAAACCCTTTCTGATAATAATCATCTGCTCACTAGTGACTGACTTCAAGAGATACTCCTGGAGTTCTAGTGGGAAGCCGTTACCAGTGGAGTACAACCAGGTCTGTTGTGAGATATCAGCTCACTGAAGACAATGGTATATGGTGGCGCAACTTCGTGGATTGGTTGAAGTTAGACATTAACACCGTTTGATGCCGGCTCAGTGGTCTAATGGTTAAGCGCTCGCGCGCGAAGCCAGTAGGTCCTGGGTTTGAGCCCCGCGTGGTGCGGGATCGTGGATGCGCACTGCTGAGGAGTCTTATACTAGGACGAAACGGCCGTCCAGTGATTCCAGGTTTTAAATGGTGGTCTAGCTTCAACTGACTCATGATTTCAATCTGTGAAAATTTCTAAAAATCTCCACAAACCCCTTCTGATAACTAACTAATTAGCAAGTTTATGGTGCTATTATATCCATCACTCTTTAGAGTTGTATTTTTAGCTCCAAGTACAAGTGTTATGATGTACGTTCATTTTAAAGAGTAACTAGTGGTGAGGATGTTTTATTGATATCAGTTAAGTTTTTTAATGATATGTCAGTGAAAGGTTGTTTCTCACGCAAATTAATGATTCATTTATACGCTAATTTGTCGTTTAATGGTATGTAATGCTTAAGTTTTTTAGTTCTTAGTGGCGTCTTAATTCTGTCGATAAAGCTGCGCTGCAACTACCATGTTATGTAACAATTGCATTATTTTTTATGTTAGTGGGATTTTAAGTTTAATGCACGTCCTATCGTTTATCTCCAACCACTAAATATGGATTTCATGTTTTTGAAATGCTTGTCACTAACTGTGTACTTTGATTGTCATTTCTAATAGAAAATGATAAATATTTGACTTTCAAGATTTAGTTTTTAAATAATTAACATTTTGTACAACTTGATTGTGAAACGACTCAATAGTTAATTTCACATAAATTTCAAAAAGTATCTTACTTCAAATATTCTTGGTTTACTTCCATGTGCATTTAAAAGATTTACAATCAACGTTGAGAAACCCGGTGCTAGACAATTGTACGCCATTAAACCTAATTTTAGTTCTTCCATACAAACTACCATATCGTTGGCTAAATATGTCCAACGTGGAAAATTATTCATTAAACACTAAAAATAAATAAACGAGAATATACGAAATGATATATGACTTGCAAAAAATAAAATGTGCAGCATTTCATAGATTTTAAAACATGCAGTAATAATGTACTGCTGTTAAAATAGGTTTATAGTCTTGTAAGAATTTCATCAGCATTACTGAGATTTGAAACATGTAAAGGAACAAGAATGCTGAAATATGTTTCAGTGATTTGTGATCATGAGAATCATTTAATTTAATTTCTGTAGATTCCTCGTGTGTAAACGACAATATTGAATCCTGTTCAAATACTATGATAGAATAAACTGTTATTAAATATCCTAGGTTTATACATTACGTGGCTACTGCTGTTCAAATGTGACAAAATCGGGCTCCATACTTGTTTAGTTTGAAGTGTTCGGAAAATTTCAACAATCAATACGACAATTGTTAATAACTGTGATGTGACCGCATTTCAGGCTTATATAAGGATCATCTCAAGAGTGAGTGGAAATAATTTGTTCATATTTTTACTATTTCGAAATATTTGTATACAACAGTCATATGTAATGAATATTTAAACTATCAAATAGAGAAAAAGCTTCAAGTTCATAAAACTAGTCAAAGTCGAATCAAAGAACAGAACCAATTTCCAGGAATCTGCCAATCTAACATATAGATACAAAGATATTAAGTGTATATCTGTAAAGAACTATGAATATTTGGACCGGATTTGTCATTTTACGCAGTCAACCACTTTATTATCTTTAAGTAGAAATCAAAGTGTTCGCGAATTCCCATAATGTTGCAGAAAAAAATCTTCGGAAACTCACCTTATTTCTAAAATAATGCAACTGCAAAATAACGCGTAAATTCTTTTTTCTAGCCTTTATTGCAATTGCTTGCATTATATTTGCGCTGTCTTCATCATCACGAAATTTTGTATTTGGTGTGGCTAATATGAATGCTGCTCGTGCTTCTTTTAATTTAGTTCTTGCTAAATCGTGTGGATTATTCGGTGTACCAACAAAATATCGAACCCATGCATGATATGGACTAAGAATTGCTTTCAGTGCATAATCCAATGGTATCCTTTTTAATTTTTAAAAGTAAATGGTTTGAAAATATTATTTTCCATAATAAAATCTTCGAATGAAAAACACTATCCAAAAAATCATGGTTAACATTTTCTCAATTACATATGGGTTCAGAGCATAATTCTGAATCCTTTTGATAATAATCAATTCAATCGAGGGATTAGTAGCGCGATTCAACACAATAATGCCTCATACATGCTGACCAATGGGAAGTTAGGTTTGTAGTTCATAAAATGAATTTACGACTATCATCTGTTAAGTCTTAACAAATAGTGATACTTGGTACCTGTTTCAAGAGATACAACTGTGAGCAGTCTATGAATTGTCTAATTTGCATGTCTCCAAATCAATGTAGCATTCGTCATCAAACTGCACTTTAGAAAGCTTACTCGCGTGAAACCTCATCTTACATTTTGCATACTCGTAACGACATATAACTTATTTTCTTTGTAACATTTGAAATAATGTTGTAACATGTATTGCGATCGCGTCATATTTATGTCGTCATATATATAGGCTCAACGATTAATATTCTGCAAAGAATGTAAACTTTAGCCATTGAACTCAAAATTATTCAACTCGTTGGCTTCTTAGTCTAAATCTAGACAGTTAAAGATATTGTAAAGCAATAACCAATCGAGTCAAACAAAAGTAAGGCTACAAATCTCAGTGACGAAAACTATTTTATTAGCTTTTTTTAATGTTTAGAACTGCTAAATATGTAGATATTATGTAAAGTCATTCTTTGAATTCATATCCTATCCCATTTTTACTGAAAACATTTACATAACCAGTACTGCACTGTCCGGAAGCTCAAGAAGAAATAATTACTACTCCATAATGAATAAAAAAATTATGCAATGCAAATTAACCGATATTTGAATAACTATTTTTGATTAAGTACACCTAATATAGATTGATGTTTATTGTAATCTCTCCTTAAAGAATTTTTAGTTGTGTAAATTTTCGAAAAGCTTATGAAAGACAGTATAAAGCTATGTAAGTCTGTGGTTATAGTTTTAAGCCTTGTCACATAATCAAATTACTAAACAAGTCAGAAACTTTTACAAAAGTAATTGATTTCTAGCGGAATATTTATATGAATAAAAAACTATGCACACTTACGGTCTCAAAAGTACCATGTTTATTCTCATACGTCCTTTGGCTTGACATCCGTAAAGGAAACCTTTGATAAAAGCTCGTATACTTTCGTTATCAAAATTTCCGCAAACGATAACATGTCTGTAGAATATAAAACGTAAAATCTCGAAATACTGTAATACGAAAGTAAGTCTCATGGTATTACTAGTGACTAACTTATGAATGAATTTTTCTTAGCCAAACTTTGAGAAATCAATCGCTCAGCTGGATGACAGAATGATGATCAACCAATCTTAATATCCAACTGTAGTTCATGATTTGGTTCTCTGATTTTCACTTAGTAGCCTAAATGTATTCTGCTCACTTTGAAACCTAAAGGTCTTGATGCACTATGAAGTCATAATAACTTATGACTCGTAAAGTAGGACAAAACAACTGACTTGTAGTTTGTGGTCTTTAATGGTTTGCTAAATGGTACTTATCTGCAATTAAAATCCCTCCTAGTTTGAAAGAAAAGCCACAAAGGGATATGTATACATCCTGATATTAAAAACTTGGTATGTTTGTGTAGAACAATTATATCTAATATTTAATGTTACCCATCAAATTGTGGTCAAATTTTCATGGCTTACTGCTAAGGTAATAATAGGAATACTCACTTTTTGTTAACAGTGTTAGAGTCTCCTTATTATTAATAATGGCGAATTCATTTTTTCAAATTCAAGTTTTTGCATAACCTTTACTTGTTTCCGATTAGGTGTCACTACTTTCTATTCACCAGTTTTGTGTGTTTCAAGGTCATTCCTTCGTTATCATATATGCTAATTCGAATTGTTCTGCTTAATTACTGTTTTCTTCTAGTTTTTCAAGTGTTGTGTGCCAGTTGCTGTTATCTAGCACTAGAACAGCTCAATTGTTTCTTAATTGGAAAGTATTGTAGGTTAAATGGAAACTCCATTACCGTTATCGATTCTTTTATAAATGTGTAATGTTTATGAAACAGACAAAGCGTTTATTAAAATAAGAGTTATCTTCACTAGTAATGCTCAGAAATTCACGCATCGTTTTGTACTCACAGATAAATTTATCAGTAGGCTTTTATTTTATTAATTAATCTTTAAGATTAAGTCGCTTTATCCCAAAAGGAGTATCATTTTAGGTAAGATATAAAACAGTACTTGTAAGGTGTGAAATAACGAAATAATACTCTAACTGGAAGATGTTTAGTATAGAAAATTCTTAATTGCTAAAAGCAAGATAAAAATATATTCGTTTGTGATGTTTGATAACTTGTAACTAAGTGAAAAATCTAACCTATTGATTTACCACTCAAAATTAAAATAAAAACTTATAACTTTAAAAACTACTTCTGTTAAATAAAACATGTCTTTATGTACTCACCGTTCACCTGAAATTGGTTCATATCGATCCGAAGAATTAGTATAGTTATTATTGAAATTACGAAATAACTCTGGTACAAAACTTGCAGAAACACCCTTAAATTTCAATGAAAGTAATAAAAACAAAAAAAAGCATTTATCACTTGAAAATATTCAACATATTTCACTGATAATACATGTTGGAAACAATGAGCTTATCCACTTTCTGATATAATTTTAACTACTTATGGTTAACACTTCTGTTCTTTGCCTCTTTTGTGTCCATATAAAAAATTTACACTGAATTCACACTTATTTATTAATAATGAGAAAGAAATACAATATTTTTGAAATGATAAATCCAAATATGTTTACTCAACTTTCGAGTACAACTTATTGTTTTTATCCTCTGAGTAAGGAATATATATACATTAGTTGTGTCATTTGAATTTTGTTTAGTATGGTCAGCAAATTATCAGTTCAAGTATCTTAGTCTTTCTTATATTTTACCAAATCAGCTGGACTCCCGTAACAATAGATAACTAAGTGATATTTATATATTTATGAAGTTGTACAAGAAAATGAATACCACATTTCTCTAATCAAATGGAATTCACTAAGTTTATTTTTGAACTAAAAATTGTGTAAGATTGTAAATCTGTGAAATACTTCATAGATGAATTTATTCCAGTGTATATAGACATTGACAAAATGTGCGTTCAAAGAGAGAGAGTTGACTTAAATCCATATGAATAACCAGAAATATGAGACAGAATATTTTTTTGGACATATTTAATTTTAACAAACAAATCTATTTTAGAATTACAGTGTTTACTTGAATGGTCAGTATACTTATGAAATAGTTGACCAAGTTAGAAATTTAATTGTTTTTATTACTTCTCTTACTCAGGTTTCGTTGTCTAGACAATTTTTTAGATACCAAGGTATGTAAAATGAAATGAACTAGACAGTAATTTTATCATAAAAGCTCAATAAAAATGTATGGTGATTTCGACCAAACAAATCTTTGGTATGTTTTTTTTTAGTTCGTATATTATTCTAACAACAAATTGTCATAATCAAGTTCATAAGTTTTTTAGTGTGGTATTTAAAAAAAAACAACTGAACATTAAATGTAGCTAAACACAAATTTGTTCCATATTCTTTGCATTGAACTAGAAAACTATGGCAACTGTTTCCTTAAATACAATTATTTCTAAATACTAATACAAGTTATATTTTATGTTATTCATGAAGACTTAATAAAGTTTTAAACGAATGGAGCAGCTGATTATTATTTTTGATCATTTTAAAATACGTTTTATTTCAAAATATAGATCTACAAACAAGGAATATTCTTTACAATAAATTCTTTTCAGGTTCTAAAATTATAATATACAAATTGATTAACCAATAAATGGCCAGGTTTAAGATAAAATTCATTGTCATAGTTTTGAAAAGCTCTATTGATGTGCTTGTTAACTTTGATCTAGCTTCATAATACAAATGTTGTAATTGTATCAAAGCAAATCTTATGGGAAAATTCGAATCAGGCCTACATTTTCTGAGTATAAACTAATAAAATGATTCAGAATTTTGCCTATTTCTACTAATATTTATCTCAGAAACGTTAGTTATTTATTTCTAGGAGAATCCTAACATCAAACTTTCCCTTTATAATAGCTAATAGTGAGAGGTATTAATCATACATATGGTCTAGAATAAGAATATATTATTCAGTATTTATAAATCATACCAACAAATTTCAGAAGTTGTAAGTGCTAAGATCACTTATAGACTTCAGTTAGCACGATTTTACCTACTTTATTTAATAATAATTCAATTATCAGTAAAGGGTTGTATAGATTGCTGATTTTCTTTGAAACTATGAACCAATCAATGTTAGATCGTCAGTGAAAACCTGGAATCGCTGGACGGATGTTCGATCCTAGTATGGGACTCCTCGGTAGCATCCGTCCGCGACCCCGTGCACGGGAACCGAACCAAAGACCTTCGATCTCGAACGCGAACTCTAAGCCTCCAGACCTTTAGACCAGTGGAATTTGATCGTGTTGGATGTGAGACAGTTACCCACCGAAGACAACGGAGGATGGCCACATAATATCGTGCATCGATTGAAGTTAGAGACCAGCAAGCCGTCATCTAACGGCAATAATGTCTGTGTTAAGTGTTTGCACGCGGGACCGAAGGTCCTGAGTCCAAACCCTGCGTGCAGGATAGTGGATGCACACTTCTGAAGAGTCCCAGACTGAGAAGAAACGTCCGTCCAGTGATCTTGTGCTCGCAATGATGGTCTAATATTGACGAGTTCATGATTTCAATGAAAATAATTTAATTATCATCTATTTTAGTTAATTTAATAATAGCTTTTAAAACCCACTTGGATGGTTGAAGTAACAGAAATTAAATAATGAACTAGCCCATCTACTCAAAAGATTATCCAGGTCTTCGATGACTTTTCAAATTTTTTAGTTATAATTTAAATCAGTTTGCTTTAAGTCAATACCTCAAATTACTATTTCCAGATAAAACATCTTAATTTATTTTCCTGTAGAATTCATCAAAAATAGAAAACTAACCATAGCAACTGGTATAAATATACAAATAAATAATCTCCCCAATGTTGAATGGGTTACATAATCACCGTAACCAACAGTAGATAATGTTACTAAAAGAAAATAACAAGACTCGAAGTAACTCCATGTACCACGATGATTTTCATTCAACCAAAAATCTCCCAAATGTTCAATCTATCATTGATAACAGGAATGTAGACAGCACAAAATAAAAGAAGTTCTGTTTTCAATAAAATAACAATAAATTTGTATTATTAAGCAAACAGATCTATAAAATACGAAAAATATATTGTAAGTAGATACTTCTACACTCTCCTGTTCAGTTACCTAGTAAACATTTTATAATCTGGCTTAGAATGGACTTAATTTCCATATCATTAAACAAAAATTAGCCAATAAAGTCTAAATAATAATACACCAGAGCGAGGCTGATGTTTCAAATCTACCTTGAGTGATAAATAGGTGAATATTCTACCCTTCGGTGATACAATGAATTTCTAAGAGGACCTTTTAATCGACTAATGAAACGTTGGTGGTGACTCAATGACTTTTATTTGTTCAAGCACAATTCGTCTTATGAACCATTTTTTAAACAATAATGTCAGACTGATAATTTGAAACGGTTTACTACCGAATTACTGTTTTTTTCCAGACTTGTACTTTTTAGTAAGTATGAAACACTTGCAACCTCACATAGATTTAATTTTATAATGTTTAGATTTTATTATAAGCAAATTACCAGATGATGTCATTCCAAGATGAAAATTATTATCGAATCGTTTGTTCAACACAAATTACATAATTGAAAAATCCTGCACAATTATGTATTCACAGTCACAAAAACAAATGCTCTAGCAGGTTAATATGTATATATCGAACTAGTGATGTTATTGGTCACGTATCCAGAGGCTGTTGACTTATATTCTTTATAGTTAATGGTTTACTTGTATATTTAGTGATTATCTATTTCGTAATTTCTTAAAATATAATTCCCTATATTATCATCACTTATTTGCATATGAACCAGCCTCCCAATCAAAATATTTTCAGTCAGTTTAATTACCAAAAAAATCATTAGTCGTGACAAATCGCAACATTTGTGGATATACATTTATTCTTATGTTTGACTTATACATGTAGTTATAGAATATCAAGAGGAATTCACTGAAAGGAATTATTAATATAATCTATTCTTGTTGTATACAGTCATGAGTTATGCGCCGTACTCTTTCCAGTGACGCCAGTATTGACGTGATGGAAAAAGAAATCAACTTTTAAGTCCTGTTGAAGAAAGCTCATCAATGAAAAAATCTCCTTTAAAGTGAGTGGGGAAGGGTTCAAAGAAAACAGTAAACACCTCAAGGGGGTTCTAGGCCTACATATTCAGTGATAATTTTTCGCAAGTTCATGACTCGTGATCCAATCACTCTCTTTAATCATCAGACCTAGCTCCTCGAGATCTTAGTTCGTCCATAATATATAAAATGACCATTCCATGTTCGCACTGTAATGATATGAATAAAATAAACTGTGTGACCATGAGGCAGCTGAACAGCCTTACTTCTAAAGAGTCCTAGGGATGCTTCTAATAAGTGTGACCGAAACGGTACAAGTGTATTGACACGAATAGAGAGTAGCTGAAGTCAATGAGATCCATATACTGTAGATTTTGCAGAATGAAGGCTATATGACCTTTGTTCTTGTATTACTAGACGCACTAGTTGAAGTCGTTCACAATTCACAAGTAAGTTAAAAATCTTAGCGATTGTGAAGCCAAATCCAGCCACCTTTTTTGTGATGGGTGTATGCATTAACCTATCTCAGTAAGGGACTGTTATATCTGTTGTATCCGAAGAAGAAATAAAGGTAACTTTGAATTTTCGACATTATCCTCCTCCACGATACAACAATATCCTTACATAGAGTATTAGTAACGACTTCAACTAGGTCATTAAACAATATAAGTTAAAATGTTATGGATATTAAAAATTTTCATGAAATGATAAATATTCATGATATTTTAATGACTACATCAAATCCAATTAAAAACATTAATTTGTCATATTTACTATAAACTCAGAATTATTTGGTGGTGCTTAATAGTTAGAAGTGAAAAAACATTCGTACAACTAACCACGTGCATAATCCCACTACCAACCATCCATATGGTGAACAATGTGAACACGATACGAGCTGACTGAATTCCTTGATTTGACGTTATCACGCCCAAATAAGTGAGCGTATCAACATAATACAAAAAGCACATTGATCGAAGAAAATTCAAGTCTGGAATTGAGACGATAAATCAAAACTCTATTGAATCGGTAGATTATAATGTTAATATTTATAAGTTTTATCTAACGATAATATCGTTATTTGTCAATGTTATTCTGTCATTTGATTCAAGATTAGGTTTAAAGAGTATATATAAATTCCATGAAAATCCATATAATATGGAATGATCATGTTAAATGTGTTTCTTTGATTAAAAATATCGTAGTTGGTTTTAGAGTTTGTGAGTCTTCCCTAAAAAAATAATACGATTCTATTCAAATAAGTATTTGAAGAAACTTGCAGAAAACATTGCTGATTTCAGTCAAATTTGTCTATAACTTTCACTTCACTGACTTTTATTTATTACAGTTGTTATAGGTTTACTATAAAAAAAGACAAATTATAATGAGCTATGTCGTTTTTATCAAATTCATTCATGATCATTTATCGTTTATTGCAAATGCTTGCAATTAACCGTTATGCTACCGCTCTTTTCTCTCTTAACACTTTACTTCTACCTTTTACTTGACGTTAATCAACAATAAAAACTAACTTTGAAGGTGCTTTTCTTTATTACTTTATATTATATTAAAAATGATCAAAAAGAGTATTTTAGTATTCTTGGTTGTTTTTTTAAATCGTACATTGTAATGGTACTGCTTGACAGTAAATTAAAAATCTACTGATTCTAATTTTAAAAGTTGGAGTTCGAGCAACAACCAACTTACAGAGACGTGTATTCTTTTTATTTTTCAGCAGTTTTGAATTGGCGTAAACGAAGCACTGGAAATGAGACTTCTGATCTCAATATGCTTCATATTTTTATTTATTTTAACTTTCTATATAATTTGGTACCCACCAGTCCGTTATAGTTCAGCATGGTTTTGGATAAACTATACTTTGATTTGGTAATTGTTAATCACAGTATAACACTCACTTTAGTGTATTCTCATCACTCGATTATTTTAGTTTTCTTTAAAGTGAAATTATTAGATTTTTGAAGAAGTCAAAGTGTAGTAAATGACACAGTACAGTAATAATCAGAGTAAAATCACTGTTTAGTACTAATGATATTATATTCAAGCTGATATCCTAGCTTTATGTGATCTTTAAAAGACATAAAGAATTTTATGATGTTTAGAAATATGAGACCACCACCGCTCCTTACTTCAACAATGTAAAATCCTATTTAATTGATTTAATCTACAAAAATATATGAAACCGAAAAGATCAATTGCTTAACATGATTGGAAGTTAGTTTAAACATATATCTAGTTTATGTAACAACTAACTTATAGTCTTAATTGGCATTTCGTTAGTTAGGTCATGTACTTTGTAGAATTAGATATGTCTAAGACATGTAATATCACATGCACTATTGATAAATAGTGAAGACTAATTCAGTTCTTACTTTTTATCATCCTGTCCTTATTTTTTGAAATTTTTGAAATAAAGATATTTCGCTTACGTTTTATATTATGGCAGCCATTGTATATAACTGTTAACACTTTCAATGTAAGTATGTCGATATATGACCACTTAATTGTGGTTTTCGTGGAGATTTTTTCAATAAGTATACTGTGTCCATCATAAACCAACATCAGCTGAAGAAGGTAGTTAATATATAATAGCTCTTAGACCCGGTTCGATATGTTCCAAGAACCTGTATCCACAAGATCACAGGGGAGCAGATCTAAAGGTTTCTGATTCTAAATAAGGATAAACTATTGCTGTAGGATATATTCTTAGTGTTAAATCAATCCTTCCTAATGACCTTCTATAAGTACAGAATACATAATGGGGATTCTTAGGTATATAAGTGTTCTGGTTTTATTAGTTGTGGAATAATTTCGTTGGAGGTTGTGTGGATAATGGCCGTGATTATCCCATACTAACGATTTTCTTAGACTGACTGTTGTATTATCAAGCTCTTTTATTTAGTTCCTTAAAGATTACTGATTTTAAGGATATCATATAATCCCCGAACTGGCACACTGCTTCATTACCACTTATTAAAAAGTTTGATTGTTAAGTCCTTCAAAATTTCTCCCTAGATCAAATACAAAGCAAATCATATTTTATTGCTTATCTCAAGTATATTTTTTCTACTTCATAGTAGGTTATGAGTAAGTTATATTATCAAAAGCTATATTTATTATTGATAAGGTAGCCTGGTATCTTAATCAGGGTTAACCTGGGGCTGTTAATCCAAATCCAAATTTGATAAAAACCAATTTTCAAAGTAAAAAGGACTGAAGTTCAGAGAAGCTCTTATGTGTTTAACTCGGAATAATAATTAGTATCGACAATCCTTACTTCTAAATAGTTATCTGATTAAGAGCTACAATAAAATATTACTAATGTTTACCTGATCTAAAACGTTCTTAGTGATAAGAATCCTTGAACATATCCTGACGTTTGACGTAGATTTTTCAGAACGTAGTTACCTACTGAAATCGTGGAACTTCTGCATTTGTTCAATCACTTAGAAAAGGTATGCAGTAACTATTGTCGGTCTTCGTTTTCAATGTTTTTCGTTATGTATCAAAACAAAAACATAGACCGACAATACTACAGTATAAACTACTAATTTATCATACGAGCAAACTTATTAGTACAGATGGATTGATGGTTGTACTCACAGAGACAGAGAATGCAAAAAATCTCACCAGTAGATGTCGATCTTACCTGCTAGTCAGCTAAATAAATTTCAGAAGGTCGAATTCTAGAAGACATTTAGCTGAGAAGAATCTGGAGGTTATCTCTCTAAACTAAGGACGTGTAAAACTTCATGTACCTTTCCCCATACTTCAAATAAAGTTTAATTTACTCAATTTCTAAAGAGCTTGGTTGGTAAATCACCGTATAAATAAACTCGAATTGACCAAAACGACAACTCATTTTTATAAAGTCTTCAAGAAAAGCTTCCTGCTAATATTGATTTTGGGAAAAATATAGACACCAATAAAATCCTCGCTGATGTAATGCCTATGTCTTGTATAAATGTAGCTCTTAATCAACGCGGGTTAAAGTACTAGACTAAGAACTCAATATCAAGACTAGTAATGACGTTTCAAGCAAGCTGAAACAAAAAGATAATTTTTAGAATTTAGATCAAAATGGATTTCTTAACAATTTATGTGGACATTTTATACTAGTTAAAGTTGCTTTTAGCAGATCTGGGGTAACGTTGACCGTTAGTCACTATAACTAAAAGCTATGTATACTTGTTATTCTCGAAAATTTAATGGATATAAAATTTTTATTAAAAACATTGTCTCTATTTACCGACATATTCACTTTCTTATATTGGTCTCAAAACACGAAGTATATATTAATATTAGTTGTTATATATATGAATTTACTGATTGACATAAATCAACATAATAAATTGTTTGTAATAATATTTGATAACCTCGCTAGCCTGTGTTACTATATAAATATTTAACAGTGCTTTATTGTAAACATTAAGATAGTTTACTTCACTAACCAGCATAATGCTTATGAGTCACTCGATCAATTTCTGTGTTACATTAATCAGTAAATCTGGTTCATGAATAATAATAGCGATAAATCAAGAAATGATGACTAGGAATTACGATTTTTTCAACACATTCACTTACCAATATGACGATGCGTTTCAAAAACACTGCATAAAGCCGGTGGGATTGAAATTATATCGATCAGAGAAGAAAAACTGAGAACAAAACGAACCCGATCAGTAGCTGCACACAGCTAAATCAGATTAATTTGTTTTAGGAAAGCAAATAAATATTTTATTTAATTACAAATGTACACCACTCATATTATTACGAAATTTTTTTACAAAATAAGTTTTATTTGTAAAATACAAAAAGTTATTTTCCCATAGCTGTTCTGGCTTTTGTTTCATACTGAATAGTAAACAGTTTAACCACTGAAATAATTTGATTCTGTTGAATGGAATTAGGGTATATCACCCTCTACTCTGAAGTACGTGACTTGTGATTCGAAGTTACAGTCCAATTATTTGGAAGTTGGGTTAGCTAACAAATAACCCGTTACTTCTGTCCAACTGTCTTTAAAATATGTTAAAACAGATTGAATATAGTGGAACTAAAATCGAGGGGCAATGTTTATATTTTCAAAACGGATAAGTGCTATGCCGGAAAAATCTCTACAGATTATATGTTTTATGAAAAATAGTAAGTGGCTGGTGTGACAACAGCCACCACCTTCGTCCTCATGTCAGTTTTGCAACCTATAAATATGATTAAGTTTTATTCCGTTTCTAGCGTAAAAGTTTTTCATCCAGCTTAGGTTTCTGTCTTTGCATTGCCAGTTTGCCAACCTTTAAGAATATGATCGTGATAATGTCGGATCACGGAACACAATAACCAGTTATCGTTTAATGCTGAAACAGTAAGTATAATAATGCTTAACCGAAGTTTTGTTACGTTAGTTATCATAAGTTACCCTAGTAGATTGGTATGAACGATATAAAGAACAACAAATCGTTCATGATATTAAAAAATAACGTTTTCATAACCTAATCAAATTTCACACTGTTATCTTTTTCACATAAAATAGAGCCGTTTAAATATCAAAAATGATAATTTCCTAGGTTTGTTATACACTTTATCGATTGGTAATGTCTTGTAACAAGCCCTTATCATGTTATGAACAGATGAAATGTGCATCAAATACGTGTCATTGCATTTATATTAGTTATTTTACCGTAACTCTTAATTTATTATGTAAATATTTCTATGTATTTGTGGTGTCCATGTCGATCATTTATTTCCATCTATTGTCCTATTGGTTGCAAATGCACTCAATCAGTGGTTTGTGACACACATATGCCTCATATTCATAGACGAGTACATTCTTTTCCTTTGGTTGGTCTGACTGTTATATTCTTGACCTGCTGAGCCAGTACACTCGTAATAAATCAACTGCAATCTAATTTTTATTTAGCTTACGAATGTCACTAGTTGAAATAAGTCTAACTGTGCATCCTAGTTTATTCTAAATAAAAATACGAAGTGAACCAGTGCCATTTAATGTAAGAGTCAGAAGACATTAATTTATAAGCTTATAGTATGAGGAAAATTACAACATTATATAATACTCTTCATAAGTGTACCTGTAGATGTTTGGTGCACACTAGCAACATCAACTAGTAAATCATCCAGCATGCGAATGCCTTTCTTAAACGTAATCCAAATATCCACATTCCATTAACACAATGTACACGAAAAATGCACTCGATACTTGGCTTAATTATGGATCACTTTTATCACCTGTCTATAGCTCTATACGTAGGTTGGGACTCGTCATTCATTAGGATCCTAAACACCAAGTTTCAATTCAGATTTTTACATCAAACCAGTCATGCATCACTGTCTTACGCTACAGTTGATTCTTGAAATGTAGTTATGACTCCACAGTTAGGGAACAAAGAATTACTTCAATAGGGTTGAATTTTTCAGGCTTAAAATCAAGAAACCTATTGATTGATACTGATGAGTCAAATGTGCTTTAAACAGAATAAAAGCATGGATACCACTAAAAAGGCTTTTTTTCTAATTTAGAATCTTAGATCATAACTATATGTTAAGGAATTGTGCATCTGAGAACAGCCAATACCGCCCGTTAAAAACTTCTCATTGTCTAGGAATTCCAAAATGAAAGTTTACTTTTTACCGATATCATTAATCTGAAGGTTTTTCAATCAAGATCTGTACGGCAGTTAACGATTTGTTTTTTACTAAATTATTTTTATTATGATTGTAGATAATACGTAATTATAGTTACTATTTATCTATCAGTTCACAAATAACAGACATGTAAACGATATTGCATAAAATAGGGTGTGGGTCTACTGTACCAGTAAGACATGTATATCGAAATAGGTTTGTAGAACTAGGAGCGTTATTCATAACCAATTTAGTTTTTAATATTGAATAGGATCCCCAGTTATAGATTAGCTTATTATTATTTACCTTTAAAATATAATAACCCAAGCAGAACAAATTGATACCAAAATTGATCCAACTGAGGATTTTCGAACGTAATGTATGGCATATACCACGTATACTCACAGGAGGATTACTGAAATTAAAAATGAATTGTTTACACAAATCCTTTTAAAAGTTTGTAGTAAAACGGATGATAAATTTACATTTTTTTGTTATTAAATGCAGTACATTGAATACTAGATGTTTGTTCAACTTCCAGCCCCATCAAAAAATAATATTTCTTTTGCACCGCTATTCTAAAATGACAAATCAACCTCTTTGCTTATTACTATGAGTATAACCACATTAAATTGAATGAAGAATTTATATGCAGCTGATTTTATTGGGGTATTTGGCTCAAATGCATACAGTAGCTAAGTATTTTTACAAATTCGGCTTGATAATCGATAAATGAGGTAATAAATAACCAATCCATGAAAGCACAATATAAACCCAATGCACTCGAGGTTTCTTATTAAATTTTAGTTTTATGTTTAAGTGATCATTAGCCGATCAAATTTTTATATTCATAAAGTCTGTTTACTTTTTTTAAACACAACCTAAATCAAGACTACGCAATGGCGGGATTTTAGATTTTAAAATAAACATTAAAAGCAATGAATGATTAATTAAAAAGAGGCTTTATTTACAGTTTATTTTCTGAAATAATCTTGATTTGCTGACATTTGACAATCTGATGATGTGTGTTAAGTTAATGCTGTCAACTAATAAAATATTTTAATTAGTCAGAGTAAGATAGCATTTTCATTATATGTCGCTTACTCATTAATACAGTAGTTTCTTTTTATATTATGTGAGTTATGATTAAAAATTCTTGACTAAGTCTTGGATCTCACTTTTAACTTACGAAAATATAAAAATGTATGAAATTCGAACCTTTTCAGAAGACCGTTTTTGAATGTTTTGGTATAGAAACTGGTGTTGTAGCGCACAGTAGTAGTGATCTTAAAAATAACCTCTTCATTCAATGATATATGTTTGGTTAAACTAAAATCACTTAGCTTAAATTATTAAAAATTACATCAGGTCCCTTTTGTATGCATTTTTATTGTATAGATTTAAGGAGCTGTCTTTTCAGTGATGATTACTTACTTACTTACGCCTGTTACTCCTCGTGAAGGAGCATAGGCCGCTCACCAGCATTTTCCATACAACCCTGTCCTGGGCAATCCTTTCCGGCTCCTTCCTGTTCCTATTCATCCTTTTCATACCTGCTTCTATTTCCCGACGTAATGTGTTCTTTGGACTTCCACTTCTCCGTTTCCCTTCATGACTGCAAGTTGGGCCTTGCCTCGTGATGCAGTTTGATGAACTGCGTAATGTATGTCCTATCCATTTCCATCGTCTTTTCCGAATTTCCTCTTCAACTGCAAGCTGGTTTGTCGTCTCCCATAGAAGGCTGTTGCTGATGGTATCCGGCCAATGGATGTTGAGTATCTTGCGTAGACAACCATTTATAAATACTTATGCCTTCTTGATGATAGTTATAGTAGTTCTCCAAGTTTCAGCTCCGTACAGTAGAACTGCTTTGACGTTCGTATTTCAGTAATGATTAACAGTTACTTATTTTTTTACTACGGGCGTATTTTCAAGGTTGCTTTACTGTATAAATTACATCTCTAATAAAGCTTTACAGAACATTCTAAGTGCGTTTTACATGAATGTTTTCTGACGTTATTGTGTCACATTTTACGAAATAGTATACAAGAAAAGACTCATAATAATTTGATTCCATCACTTGAGTTTTGTAGTATTTATCATCATGATGGGTAATGTGTTCTACAAAAGCGCTTGAGTTTAAAATATTGTCGACAAACATGTTTGGTTGATTAAAACGTGATGTAAAAAAATGGAGTTCAGTATTTGTGTATTTGAAAATCAGGTAATGGAGAGATTTGGGTAGGCTGACTTGTCGTTCAGATAGTTCGTATTGTAAAATAAATCAATGTTTTTATGCAAGAGATCGAAGAGACAAGCAACTCAATGTTAAGATGACTTATGAAGTTGAAGTGAATGAATATAAATATTGCAAGTATAGGGATCTGTGGAGAGTGTTTAATCTTCATGGGTTACATCACAGACTTATGTCACGCCTATCAGATAGTAGATGGTGAGCAATGACTAAGTCGATTGGAGTAGAGGTGGCATATATGAAATTTATTTTTTTCAAAGTTCTATGACCTGTAAATTCTCTGGAGTAATTATATGACGTAGTCAATTAGTTATGTCTGTTAGTCATAAATGCTTAATTCTATGGTAAATGTGTGTTCACAGATGAAGTTATTATTAAATTGGTCTTAAACACCACTCTTTTTAATTTATACAAATCTAGCTGTTAACCCTACTGTAAATATATCATATAGAAGGTTTATTCATACATCATTTTGATTTGTTTTGGAGGTTAAACAAATTTGTATCACCAATCTTTCTGTTCTTACTAAGTGTCTTTGGATTCTGGGTTGTAATACCAAACACAGGTCGGTGAAGTATTCGGCAGACACATAGAAAATGACACATAACAACTAGGAGTCCCATACCATGACGAAACACCTGTCCAGTGCTTCTTGATTTTTAGTGGTTATTTAACCCAGATTACCTCGTGAAGTAAACAATGTAAATATTTTTCCCGAAACGATCGTAGTCAATTGAGAGATTAACTATAAAATTGCAAAAACTTATTCACTTTCCTATCCAATATTTTCTATGTACTTTGCGCCTAATTTCTATGAAGACATTCATTGAAACCCTGACAAATGTTCACAAAATTTATCAAATGATCGTTATCTTGTAACTAAGACATTATACCGGCATCATACGTTTTTTTTTTTAAAAATCATTAATAATATCATTCGAATGAGCCCTTTAAATTTCTCCGTAAACTAATGACTAATCACATGATTGCGATATCAAGTGGACTAATTTTTCACATCCAGATAATCATCGCTTATCATAATCAAGTTCATAAAAGAAATAATTTGGAGGCCGTCCCAACCTGATAAACGTTAAAATATTGGTGTACTCAACAAATTTATTTAGATTCGTTTCCTCAACAAACAGTTTCAGAAGACGAAGTAATAGATCAATCGGGCTTTTTTTAATCTCTCACAGCAAATATTTTCCAAACAATCTTGGTAATCTTTTGTATAAATTATTTGAGAATCACAGCTTTATTTTGCTATATCATTTCCTACTCCTGTCAGTGTTGTTTCAGATCAAAATCATCAGAAGGTTTGGTTGTATATACATCTTTATGAAGGTAGCAATTCGATTTATAAATACCTTATCCGGTAGCTCATAAAGCTGATCGTTATCAAAGGCACTTTACAGTGGGTGTAAGAACAAACCACCAGTAGTTCAATGTGAGTCTACACAAAAATCACTTTGTTTATCACGAGGGATATTTGAAGTTCGAATACTACTAAATATTTGCCTCCACAACGATCAGAAGAGTAACTTGATTTTTGAGAAAAAGTTGGACGAAATTTCGACCATATACCTCGAACGATAGATCAATTTATATGTAATAAAAAGTTTGTTGACTTATATTCACATTTTAAGTGGGGCCATTTTTCGGTATGATGACTCCTGTTTTAAAACTGACAAATTCACAAACAAAATCAAATGTTAATGTACACATAATGTTCTACATTTTAAACTAACTTTCTATTTTCAACTACATAAAATAGCCAGGAGACCGTACTGAGAACAATATAGATAGTTAACTGAAAAAGTAAGAAGAAAACAGATACAATTCAAAATAACACTTTAAAAACTAACAAGTGTAAATGATTTTTATATAAAAAGTTAAATGTATGGAAAAAAGCATCTGATTGTTTCTCAAATTACACATTTCTGCTTATAGTTGAAGCTAATCAGAAAGAATAATTAGTGTCACCAAAAGTCATTAGGATTGCTTTTTTGAAATATAAGTTTTATTGTTTGTGAATCATAAAGTTGGATAATGGATTACACGTAAAAAGCATTTTTCGATCAAATATGTAAATAGTCAACAACCTGTACAGTAATTTTACGATGACCAGTCTAATGAGGACAATGTTGACGAAGAACTGAACGAAACTTATATAACCAATTTTCTACAATTATCTCAACAATTAAAAAAAAAACATTTGATGTATTAAGTATAAGGTCTGAACTTCAACAAGTATTTTTCTAAACATCATTAAAATTTAAAGTTAATTCTCTTTTTTGTAGACATATTCATATAGATTCCATCCTAAATCCCTTAACGTCTCTAACTTATATTTTATGAGACGTAAAACTTTGAGATTCATTCACTTTTCTGATTCATAATCATTTACTTATGTAAGAAGTCAGTGACATGTACTATAGTCGCGTTTTTTTATTTAATATAAAGTTGATATAATTAAGAATTCAATGAACTGAATAGAAAGCGAATCTTCATAGAGAAGCGATAACTAATTGAATTTTCTTAAACCTTTTCTGATATTTGAGAAATACTGGTATAATTAATTATATTCAATGAACAGTAAAGACGTTGATAAATTGAATTAGGAACGAACAAAATATTCAGAAAGGGATTTTAATTCCTCTTTCTTGACTCACTCAAGTGAGCTTTCATTATAATTTGATTTCAACTGAATATAATTCTTTTAGTTGTGCTGATAGAAATATGGCTTTAATGGCATTAAATATTTCTGTATCCGTACATTCGTATTATCATAACATGATTTAACAATTTAAAAAAAAAACAATAAATACCAAGCTAACCATCAAAAAACACTTGAACTCTGTCTTGGAAGTTGAAGGGTCTTCTAACATAAGAATTATGACACCCCATGGTGAAAGCCGAAACTCTTAGAAAGCCGCAAGGCCGACACCCAATGCCCATCCTGACAACCAGAGCAATAGTTAACATAAGTACTTGGAACGTTCGGACAATGTAAGAAACCGGGAGATCCAGTCAAATTGTTAAGGAAATTAGGAGATAAGACTTGGCGCTTCTCGGAATAAGTGAGACCCATTGGACACAAACTGGACAGAAAAGATTAGATTCGGGAGAGGTGTTGTTGCATTCTAGCATGAAGAAGGAAATGTTTTTCACACACAACGAGTTGTACTGATCCTATCCAAAGAAGCAGGAAAAGCACTCAGAATGGGGATCTCATAGATCCAGGGTCATCAAAGCACTCTTCAAAACGAAGGAAGAGAGGATTGCATAGAATGTTATGCTGTGCTATGCACCTAACAATGAAAGCAATGACGACGACAAACATGCAATGTTTAGCTTGCATGCAAATAGACGATTTGAAATTCTCAGATGACCTGGCCATTCTATCCCATACGTACGGACAGATGCAGATGAAGGCAACCATTGTATCAGCAGCCTCTGCAGCAGTAGGCCTCAACCTACACTAGGGGAAAAGCAAGATCCTCAAATCCAATACGGAGAACACCTACCCAATCACATTTGATGGAGAAGCCCTGAAAGAGGTGGAAACTTTCACGTACCTGGTCAGTAGCATCATCGATAAACAAGGAAGACCCGATACAGATGTTAAGTCACGGATTACTAAGATAGAGCGACATTCCCACAGTTGAAGAATATATGGAACTCAGAAAACTGTCAGCTAACTTCAAAATCAGAATCTTCAATACGAACATCCAAACAGTCTTACTGTACGGAGCTGAAACTTGGAGAGCAACCAGAACCACCATCAGAAATGTACAGGTATTTATAAACAATTGTCTAAGAAACATATTCAAAGTATGTTGGCCGTAAACTATCAGCAACAGCCTACTGTGGGAGAGAACAAACCAACTTCCAGTTGGAGAGGAAATTAGGTAAAGACGTTGGAGGTCAGTAGGACATACAGTACGGAAATCATAAAACTGCATCATGAGGCAAGGCCCAACTTGCAGTCATGAAGGGAAACGGAGAAGTGGAAGTCCAAAGAACACACTATCCCGAGAATAGGAAGCAGATATCAAAAGGATGCATAAGAACTGGAAAAGATTACCCAGGACAGAGTTGGATAGAGAATGCTGGTGGGCGACCTATGCTTCTCCATGATGGGTAGCAGTAGTAAGTCAATTAATTTGAAATGGGTATGAAATGAATTGTCCCACTTTTAGATCGGTTCGAGTGATTCCTCAGAACTCCTTGAATTTTCATTACCTTTTAGTTGGCATTAGTTTGTCATCAAAATACTTTCCAACCTTACTATATTTTTTGATATGTTTATGTAACAAAACAAAGGCAGAGTGAATGGAAAGTTAGGAAATGAGGTAAATTTTACAAGGTAACTGAACGACTTAGTAATGTACACAAAACCATTTGTCCGCAATTCGCTCCTAATATTTCTACTGCAATATTTCTTTATACATTTTATCCAAAGTCATAGGTTAGGGTAACCTCTCCAATTACTCTCAGTTTTGGCTAAACAGAAATTAAATACTAGTCTGTTAGAAACGGAGCGTTTATACAATCTGAAAGTAACACATAGCTAAGGAGCAGTTCAGTGTAATTCATTTAGTTTATTAACAGTGTTGACATCATTTACAACTAGGTAGCTGACACTACCAGTTAGAAGAAATTAAACTTGTAGAAGTTCTATGAGTGGTTAGAAACTGGATTTAGGAAGGTAAAAAATATAAACTTTTAAATACACCATAAGGCATATATCATTCTGAAAGTGATTCGGTTCAACATACATGGTGAAGTCTAACTATTCTAAGTAATTTTGTAATTGTAATTTTTCTAAATGGTGTTCTGAATGAGTTAACCTGAAGTTCTGTTGACATGAGAGTTATGAAATCTAAACGAGCGCAAAACTTTCTCTGCTTCATTCCAAAATCACATATAACTTACTATTGTACTACCAGTCTTATTTGAATTTCACTCGTTAACTTCTTAGTTGGTTAGTTAATTTTCATACTGATCTAATAATCAATGTTTTTCAAATCCGTGACTTTGGGTTGAAATTTAAACAAAGCATTTTATCAATGATACAAACTTGCTGTCCATTTTACTCTACAATCAGTTATGTTAATCGAGAATATTCCTGTATCTGTAAAATAGGGTACAGTTCTTTTGGGTTTTATATTATTTATCATATACTTGAAAGAATAGTTCTGAATTCATTATGTATTCTTTCAGTGATAATTAAAAAAAAGAGTGTAAAAAGGTTTTAGATTAACTTTATTTTCATCATTTATCTACACCATCCACTAAATATCATCATATTGATATCTCTTATAAGTAAAAACATCACCTTCATCGCAGTGTCAAAACAATGCAATATTATTTTAATCATAAAAGTAGTTTAAAACTGTGTTTGTTTCAATCATAAAAATAAAGTCATTATCGAAACATAAATACGACTGGAAAGTAATAAGCTATATTTTACCTTGTCAAATTACGTTATTATTATTGTTATCATTATTATTGTGTTGTCTTAACTAATAAATATTACTGAACTATTCTAACGTCAATCAAACAAAGTGAATGATGAATAGTAAATAAATATCTCAAGAATTTTAGATTACTCGTAACTGAAAAATTTCGTCGATTTAATTTCCAACATACAGTGAGTTTTTCCGATCACTTATTGACAGAATAAAGATACAATTTTTTTCTTTTACGTTGGACGAGCTTCGTAAACTGGTTAATCTTAATAATGTTTAAGACAAATTGCTCTTCACTGGACTGAAATTTTCATCTCATTTATCAAAATATGAATAGAAAAATTAAAAACAATAGTTCAGGTATTTTCTAAAATAGTTCCTCTCATCTTATATACATAAATATGAGACTGAATGTAACATCCTACAGATCAATTTCTCACTGTATATGTTTAAACATACTTTAAGAAACCGATTGTTCATTTGGAATGCTATGAATAACTTTCATAAATAACCGTCAAACATTTATTCATAAGTGAAATACCAGTGTAACTTTAAAATATAGCCGAAACCGAAAGGCTGATAAAATGATATCACGAATCTTTTGAAATTGAAAATCCACTGCGTGCTTAGACAATACAAATTAGGAATATACTGATAAAATGCAAATAATCTAAAAGCTGTAGAACATTTCTACCTAGCTCATAAGTCTTGTGTCCGAAGAAGACTAAATTAGGAGCGACTTTTGGGAACTATTTGTGAACTGTTATTATATATATATATTCTTATTGTATAACTATTCAGTAACTAGATTATATATATATTCATCTTTCTCTTATTCTGAACTTTCACTTGACCTATTGACTACAATTATACCATTTGCTATTCTTAAGTTATTCCCAATCTATTAGTTACTGTCTCTCACACTCACACCCACTTACAGCTTGATCTTGTATAGTAATTATTTCTTATTTTATGGCGTGGTGCGGTCAGATCTGCTTGTGTATAAACCAAGTAAAGTCTGAAATATACGATTGGTACAGTGGAAGCTGAGATTGTGTTCTAGACTTAAACGAGAGGGGATAGGTGAGAAGAACCAATAAGGACTCAGAGTTGATTCTAGGCTGATCATGCTGGTTAACGCATCGTTGATTTGGCACTTGACTAAGTAATAAGTCGGTGTTCTGATTGGTGATCCTGTCATGTTATGTTTTGATGGGGCTTAGAATATAACAATGAGTTATTCCAAGTTTATAACCGCTGTTTGTGTGAACATTCGTTAATGAATGACCCATTGCAAGTTAATAATACGAACTATTCACTATTGATTTAGTTGGAT